ACAGCTTTCCATCGACTTATCCTCTTTGTTACTGTCATTGAGAGTGGTTTGCGCTCTGGACAACGCTTTGTAATAAAGTGACTCGAACTCGGTACGCTCGGAATTATGTACCTTAATATCGTCAGCAATGCATTCCAGACGCAACTGCACCTCATCATATTGTTCGTACAATGACTCCATCTTACCCATGCGCAACTGCAACTCGGACACATCACAACTACTTAATACTTTGTCCTTGAGTGAGTCCAGGAAGGTGACGAAAGCAGTCAAGCGACCCTTAAAGCTGCCGCGCTTTTTAATTAAATCCCTTTCCTCGGACATACTGGGAGATGAGTATTGTCAACCTGGAATAGATACAGGAATACAATTAAACCTAGCAAACAATATGACTAAGACACACCTAACTGTGTTTTATACACTGCCCAAATGCTTTTATAAAGCGACACAGAACCTACAAATTAATAACAATTACAAAATAAGTAAATTAATATTGTATAACTTTTCGTAAAACTACCTACAATTTATAATGTTGTAAACTTTTATATAAACTAAATAAATGAGCACAATTAATTCAATTAAAATACTAATTCCTACTTATTACATAAACGATTCTAAATTACTAATAACTTGTTGAATTTTTACAATGACTTGCACTAATATCTAACACTCAAATTATTTGTATTATGTCAAGATACCTGCTAATAATTATATCTACTAAGTAGTTATAAATTATGTGAAATAGTTACAGCTTTGATTAAATTAAATTTAAATAATGTAGCAATTAACTAACTATACTGCAGTGAGTATAATTTAAACTTAAGATTTACTGTTAAAAATACTAATCACAATGTAAAAGAATATCTAATGATTCTAATGATCAAACAAATACAATAAGTAGTTAAATAAATATTACTGACCTTAAATATAATTTACTTATATACTACCTGAGTGTTGGGTGATGATATTAGTTATTTAAAATACTGTACACCGCTAAAACCATTTGTTCGAACTCAATCCAATCCACCGGCAAATCTCCACGTCACGGTGGAAAATTTCAGTACTTGATTCCTCTTCAGATAAAATCGCTGATCTCCTCTTTAGTTAGTGTCATCAGGCTCGATACGGACCATGTACGGAACCAGGGTTGATGTGGATGGACTTAGGAAAAATATACTCGAACACGGTTTTAAATAATTAAACTTTAATGGGTGCTAACTTCAAGAGTTAAGTATAGCAAGTGGGGTAATTTTCAGAATTCTTCACAATTTATACATTTCATGAGCGTAAGTTGTTGCTCTGAAAAAACCATCAGGCGCGCGAACATAAGGGATAAAAGGGGTAGCTTGTGGTAATCTGCAAACGTAGCCCATACATGATGTTAATAGCTGTTACTTATAAGTAATTGAGAGTAGGAGAGCAACTTAGTTGGATATGCGTTGGTGTTTTGTCGTAGAAACTGGTGTACAAATGAGTTACGATTTTACGAATACTTTAGACATTTAGATACAAGAGTTAAGTTGTAGTGAGTGAATGAGCCGACCAGAAAACGTTATTTTTAAGTATATTTGCCTATTTGATTGGTCGTCTTTAGCCGGTCGTGGCTGTCAAGAGGTTATTGTGCTATCGTGTTATGGGTGATACAAGGAATATTCTAACATTTAATAGCAAATGTATTAAAAAGGTCCCGTAGGTAGTCATAAGTCTAATAATGTATGTCACAATTTCAACTGTAGGTAAATATCGTAAAAAATAGTAGGTAAATGTTACACCTAATTAGAAGCATTCTTAAGAACACACTTCTCTTCTATTAAATGTAAGTACTTTACATTGTAAATACCTATAGTACCTACCTACAGATTATCATCTCTATCTATTTTCTAACTTTTCGTTCAGGTACCTATACAAATAACGATGAATAGGTAAATTAAACAATTTAAATAGTACCTAAATGTAGCTAAAATTATACCAACCCCAATGAATTTTTACAGTAAAATTAAGTGATCCACTAAAACGATAGAGTAATAAAAATTTGCTCATAATAGCAATAATGTTTGGGATCTAAACCAGCACCGTAATAATTGTTAGGTATTGCAACATTTCGCGCTGGTGTTGCCAACGTATAAACATTACTTTTGCTGCAATGAGGGAACCGTTGAGATCTCTAGTCGATAAGGCTTAGCGTTAAAAGCGCAATAGCACGAACTAAACCATTCGTGAACATAACCGGTGTTATAATTGTTGTAAGAAACGAATAGCGTTTTAAGATTTTTATTTTTGCTGCTTATCTACTTAACGAACGTATAGTTTTATCGACACTAAAAAGGCTGCTTGCGCCTATAAAGTGCCTAAACTATGTCGATAAGAACTGTGAGCTTATATTCCTTCATGTGTTTCCAGAATATAAAAAGCCATACGAAGTACGTAAATAGTGTTTTTGCATAGGTACAGCTACGTGGCCACCCAGTTAGGCTGACCTTATGACAAAATCATGATAAATCTCGTAGGTACCTAATGCAAGTTGCCGGGAATAAGCTGTTACTGGTTACTGTTAACGACTTTCATTTCGGAGTTTAGTCACAAAATTTACTAAGGAATTATGTCTTTAAAATTATCAAAGAGCCACTCATGACGGCATTTTAGTAAAGGCACGTGCATATTGTATATTATTGTTTATTGTTCTTGTATATTGAAATCTTAATTTATCGTCTCAAAGTTCTCTTCTTGTTGCACCTACCATACTCTCTCTGCAGCTCTCTTACCCTAAGTTTGACTGGTTGGAATGCCTACGGCATTAAGTCCGCCTATGTTATGTTTTTTTGCATAAAGTTTCAATCAATAAAATATATATTGCAACACTAAGAACTAGGCGATTCATAAAAAACCTATTCGAACAAATTAACCAACGAAAAAGTACGCCGCGCCGCGTTCTCTAAAACGACAAAATATGAAGCAACCTAACAATTGAAAAATAATGATCAATATTTCAAACAAAAAAAAACATTAATAACAAAATCTGTGAGCCAACAAAAATTGAGTTTAAAAGTGAAAAAGAATAACGGATATTATTTGATCGTACGATATATCACGGAATAGGAATGGGGAGTGCGAAAATAAACTCCGCTTCCAATATCCAATGAAAAATCAATCAATCAAATACAATAAAAAATCTAGAGCAAGATAAATAATATTTCGGATGTTATTTTTTTTTTTTTTTTGCTGGATAATATTTGTAACTAAGTTGTACTTATATTTTTAGTAAAAGCATCCTGTTTCTGGCCATGGCTGCTTCAGAAAATAGTTACCTACTTGTGACGTATAGGTTAGAAGCAGACGTCAGCGTCGCAAAGCTGTAGCCGATCAGCGACCTCCATAGGAAAAGCCCGCAGGCGATTGGCTTTTGGCTAGGATTTAATCATCCACAGCATAGTCGACAGTAGCCGTTAGCGTAGAGTCGTTGTGTAGCCATGCGTGCCACTCGAAAAAGATAAGTAACCTCTAAGAGTAACAAACTTGGCGAGACTTACTGCAAAGAGGTCGAAGCCGACCGAGTACGGGCAATTCAGAAAAAGGCAACCCATGGTCATGGCATAGGCAGAGGAGGAACTCCGCGTTGGATTTAGCCGGTGAGTCCGTTAACCCCCTTATTATGGCACCTAAGGCAAAGGAAGTCCATAAGGATTCCAAGAGATTACTATAAACAAGTCAGAGAAAGATTCCCGTCGGTATAACAAAAAAAAAGCCTCTTCGGTCATTGAGAAAAAACATCAAAGAGTATGGTGAACCACAATACGCAATTTCATAATAATGATGAAAATCTTTAACTTAGAAAAGGCTATTTATTCATTTTATTTGCAAATAGCGACCCGCCCCGGCTTCGAACGGGTGAAATGCTGATACTAACTATAAAAAGTTATTATACATAAAAACTTCCTTCGACGGTCCTTCATCGTCTATTAATTTGTTTTTTTTTTTTAGATATTGGTATTATCTACCTTTTTTTTTGAGACGAAAATCATCAAGTGACTTCTCCCGCCCAGGGCCGGGCGGGTGGGAGTGTCAGACTCTTACTGACTAAAAACCCCTGTTCCTTCTCCTGCTCTGGGCCGAGGTCACGGTGCCTCATTGCGCTTTCCCCGCAACCCCGGCTTTACATCAGCCCTATAGGGCCCCGTCTGTGGTGCGCTACGCGCCGCACTCTCTGGCCTGGTTCTGGTCGGGCGGCGAGCTGCACCTATATATGTGTGTCATACTTACAATTCATTAGCTGTAAGGTGTCCGTGTACATACTTTACTAATAAATAAATCATTACAGTGAAACTGACTTACTCTAATCAATTTTTGCAATGTATTTTTCCTAACTAATTTATATTATCCTCTTTCTATGTTTACATGCAGTGAATGTTGTGTAGATCCATCTGTTAAAGATATAAGTAAGTAAATACCTAAATTGTATTTGTTTTTTTGTGAGCATAATGTCGCAGGTACGTGCCTGCATACCTTATTAAATGAATAAACAATTCACCTTAAACACCTTATGCAATTTGAATAGGTAAGTTAGTAAGTAACCTATTAGGTACTGGATTTCATGTGTATCACCAATAACATCATCAGCCCGTAAGTGTCCACAGCTGAGCAGAGTCCTCTTCGTGTCCAAACAATCATAGAAAATACACAAAACTAGAAAAAAGGCACATTGATACTTGCCAGGTTCCGAACCTGAGTACCTCGTGCATAAAAAACGAGCGCCTTAACCTCCGGGTCACCAGGACAAGTATTGTATACTACATACGTAGGTAGTCGTCTCAGTATACAGTTATGATTACGCCTAAGACGTAAATAGTCACGAAACCTGCAGAAATAATATTATTTTCCAAAAAACAAACTTGCATTAATAAAATACAAGCTATTTTGCCAAAAAGTATTTTCTATTTCAAAACGAAAAAGAACACAACGAATAGCAGGTGTCAATTTAAAAAACTGTCATACTTATACATGTCAAGTGAACATTGACGTTTTGTTGTTTGTTGTTTCAGCTGTTTAGCTTACATGTATCGTTTTACAAAAATAAATAAGAAACGTAATTATTAGCAACTGTAATACCATTTGAATTCGAAGTAATAAAATCACATACACAACATATGAATATCATTTTAAGGCCGGGTGAGTTTGGAGAGGTTATATTCTGAACAAATTCAAAATTTTAGTTTTCTTCAAATTAATTCCTTATAAAAACTATTCCAGGTGTCTTCAACATCCATAGAAATATGTCCGAAATGGTAGGAAGGATTGAGTACACTATACGGAATAAATTGCTAACCTTACTCGACGCTAAACATTTGGATGTGATCAATGAATCATATATGCATAATGTGCCAAAGGGAGCCGAGACGCACTTTAAAGTAGTCGTTGTTTCTGATAAATTTGAAGGACTGCCATTAATCAAGGTACGTAAATAATTTTGTTGTAGTAAGTCTTGGTTAAATTTCCTACTGTTTTTCCTATGGTTTAAGTTAGTTGTTTACGTGAGATAATTGCGTATGTTTAATAATTTGTATATTGTTACTTACAAATTTCCATAATACCTAGTACATTGTATTAATTCATTCACAAACATATCATGAACATTAGTTTATTTTTTAGTTTATTTATTACATTCATAGATTACCATTTCCACTACCACAATGATATTTCAAATTATGACTGTTATAATATATTATGTTTACATTTTTCAGAGACATCGCTTAATCAACGATATTTTGAAAGATGAACTCCAGAGTGGAGTCCACGCCTTATCCATTGTAGCTAAAACACCGCAACAATGGGATTCTAGTGATAAAGTAGTTGAAAGTAGCCCTACTTGCAAAGGTGGATTTGGCAAGTAGGTTTTATTTAATAAATTATTATATGCTCTATTTAGAATAAATGTTGGTATTTTACAGATTTTGTTTTATTTCGAAAAACAGTAAGTCTCAATTTCTCTTTTATTACACAAAATGTTGTTGCAAAAGATTAGATTATTTATCTTGGATATGGTAGCTAAATGGTCGGAGGCAGAAAATTATACAATAATTAAAATTATTCTTTTGCTAGCTTTCGCTCGCGACTCCGTTCACGTGTAATAGTGACTTTCTGCAGATTTTTGGTATAAAAACTATCCTATGTCCTTTCTCAACTACCAAACTATGTACAAATTTCACAGAAATCAATTCAGAAGTTTACGTGTGAAAAGACAGACAGTTACTTTCGCATTTATAATATTAGTTTGGGTAAAGCAATAACTACAATTTTAAAAATTTTACTCATGGTTTTAGTAATAAAGGATGTAAAAATACGAAAAAAATATTGCAGTTGATATGCCAATGGAAAATAATTTTGGAAATCAAAAAGTCTACAATTATTGGGAGAAGCAGCAGCGAGAATTTGATAAAAGATAAGGTCAATTGTTAAATCCAGTAAGTTAAACAAGAACAAATTATTTGTCAAATTTATTTAAAAAGTATTTTTTTTCCAATGCCCACATTTCTCTTTTATGTTCTCTCTCTTCCTCTTCGAAGGCCCATTGTTTTCTTTTATTTAATAATTCTTCCTCTAGAATCTTCTTTTGCAACTCTGCAATCTCTAATTTTGAATCTGTAACTCTTTCAAATGGCCTTTTCATCTTTTCAACAGCTGAAACAAGTTTTTTTTATTTTAATCTAAATAATATTATCAAATGATAACGTAATATTTGTCCATTCAATTAAAATTTAAAAACTTACATACCTAATGCAGGATGTTTTTTTGAATGTACAAATTTTGGCTTCCAATTACTCCACTTCTGGTCATTGCTAACTCTTTTGGGTATAGTATGTTGACCTAATTTTGAAAAAAAAAAGAGAAACACATATAAAAATATGTGCTTAATACTAATATCATACTAATACATAATTTAAAGGCGTAAAATTCGCGAGTTTGTAAGTTTGAATTGAAATCCTTGTGTATGAAGGGGGTAATCTTTGGAACCGCTGGTCGGATTGCCAAAATTCTTTCACCGATAGCTACAATGTTCCTGATTGCTATAGGCTATTAAACATCTCGCTACGATGAAATGGAGCCTAGCAGCGGGTAAAACCGCGTGAGAGTAGCTAGTTACCAATTATGAGACTCAACAAGAATATTACTTACTCAACTTTTTTCTTGAAGACCATTCTTTATCAGGATCGTCATTTTGTATAGGTCGATCTTCAACTAAAAATCAAAAGTATACATATAGATATACCCGAAACACAAAACAAGCCACATGTTTGATTGTTCGAAAATGAATTAAAGCCAATTAAAATTGTTCGTTCAGCAGGGAGTATTGCAAATGCGTCTCCAAAACCGCCCAAGTTACGAATATTCTTCTTGAGAAAAAAAGAAGGCAGAATGCTATGCTAGCATTTGTATGCCACAGGTCGTTTCTGAACTGCGTAATGAGAACTGCAACCACCGCATCATTCTCGATCACGACAATGAGTTTTCACACCGCGCATGGGAGAACAGTTTTTGGAGCACAAAAACATAGAATTATTAGACCATTCATCGTACAGCCCCTACGTTAGCCCTAATGATGTCAACTTCCGAATGAAATGGCTCTTGCAATTATTGGTTCCATCGTGTGGAAATGTGTCAAATTTCGCGAAGAACATTTCGAAAAGCAATCAAAACATTTTAAAATATTAATGATGTGCCATTTTCATTTAAGAGTGGGAGAGCCATGCTTCGGCACGAATGGGTCGGCTCGACCGGAGCGATACAACGGCCTCACCGAAAACCGGCGTGAAACAACTACAGCGTTGTGTTTCGCCGTGTGAGTGAGGTTACCGGAGGCCCAATCCTTCCCCTTCCCCAATCCCTCCCCAGTCCCTAAATCTCCAAATCCCTATTCCCTAAAACGTTGGCAATGCACTCATATTATCAATCATACTTATTGTGTAAAATATAAAGCTACCATTTCGATGGGCTAATATGGAAGTATGACATCAAAATTAAAAGAGATGAGATATACCAGTTTTATAATCGATGTTGGCTGATGGAAAGGAAGTGTACAATCTGTTGGCAATAACATCTTATTTACAATTCGGTTCTGAAGTCAATTTTTTTTGAGCAGACGGATTACCTGATGGTAAGCAATCAGCGCCGCCCATGGACAGCCGCAACGGAGGAGTTACGAGTGCGTTGCCGACCTTTTAGGGATTAGGGATTGGGGAAGGGTCCGGGATGGGAAAGGATTGGGCCTCCGGTAACCTCACTCACACGGCGAAACACAACGCTGTGGTTGTTTCACGCCGGTTTTCTGTGAGGCCGTGGTATCACTCCGGTCGAGCCGACCCATTCGTGCCGAAGCATGGCTCTCCCACACTTTAAGAAATAAGGGATTCAGCCCCGGCTATTTTGTAACTAGCAAAACCCAATATGCTCTACCTGCAAAGAGTTTAAAATAACATCTTAAGAGCAATAGTTAATGCATCTTCATTTGCTAATGTGATGAAATTCACTACTGAAAAAATGCCATCAGTGTTCTCTAACAAGGAATGCTTAACATGGCATCCAAGCCTTCTTATCGTTAAACTTAACTCTGGGCGAAGAAACAGAAGAATAACCGTGTTTTATAATTCAAGGAGCAGCTATGGCTGCTCTACCACAAATCTATACTTATATTTTTTTTTCTTAAACTATTTTTTTATAATCTTATAGTGCAATCAATTGCAAAACCAATGTAAAAATAATACTTACTCCCCTTTTTTCTTGAAGACAATTCCTTATCAGAGTCATCATTTTGTAAAGGTTTATTGTGTGTAAGTATGTGATCTTCAACTGAAAATCAAAAGTAGAGAGGAGCTTAAAAAAGAATAAGTTATTCAGTAATACATAGTGGTAAATTTTTGGTATTGAAAATATTGTATATTGTTAGATGTGCTTTACTCTACATATTCTTATAGAAAAAGCAAATTGAGTGATCCAATTATCTGCATCCACTGATTGGACACATTGGATATGATAATGTATGTAGTTTCATATTTTTGTGAACCTACTTTTAAAAATATATCTTGGGTAGGAACTACTGCTTGTATTTGTATAGCATCTGCAACAGAAAAAAAAGTAAATATGGAAGAGAGGGTTTTAACTGTTCAATCATGGTAATTCAAGACACAATAGACAAACAAAATGCCTTTGTTTGGGGTTTGATAAATTTTCTGTTTTTTTGTTTTTGCTAGGCAAACATAATTTACTAAGTATATATCACATCTAGAACAGTTCTCAAGTTTACAATAAACTTTTCTTTACAATTTAAAAACAGAGTCAACCACCACTGTTCACAGTAAATCTAAATAAGTTTGGCTTGTCAATTGATACCCTAGTAGTTACTCTACAACAATTTATAACTAAGATCTTACCAACATGTTCAGGTACAAATTCCAATTCACTTTCAATTCCATCGACAGGCAACAATATCATGTTTTTAACTTTTTCCTCTATAGAAGTCAGAGGAACAGCAGTACTAGGCCCCCCTACTGTGCGATATGATTCGGCACATATTAAAGCAGACTTTTGCCTAGTGATTCTTTTTATACCCTCATATTTGGCCTTTAAAGTTTTAGCACTGCGAAAGTGCGTACCGCTTGTGCTATTGAATATTTCCTCTATTGTCTTCCAGCACTGTTCCTTCTCATTCCAAGTGACTGCGTCGCTCTTCTTGTTTTCTACAATAGTTTTGTTTTGAACAACCAATGAGATTAGAAGCTCAACTTCTTCCGGACTGAAGTTAATACTTCTTTCACGTTTTGGTGTCGTCATTCTCAAACGATAACAACATTTACACAAACAAATAAATTAAAAAGTACCGCGATATGAGCTACTGTCAGTAAATTGACAATGTCAAACGACTTACGAATGTCCAAAGAGCCACGATTCGTTACAAGCAATTTTCGATTAACATCAAATCATTGGTATTCATGTTCGTAAAAAAAATAACCAGTCAATAGGTAGAAAATAACCAATTATATTTATTCATCGAAGTAGAATAATACTTGTAATGAAATTTGAAAATAATTTTGAAAGTAATTTAACTATCTGTGTAGGTAATTAATGAAGTGACATCAAAAACGGAGCGGCGTATTTGGTGTTGCCACTGAGTGCTAACATAACATTTATGTGTCAAATAAAATAATTATATTAATTATGTAAAACGAACAGTTTCTTATGACTTAATTATTTGAATAAAAATAATACTGAGAAAAGCGGTGAAACGTGGTCAGTGTTTCCAACGAAGCGGAGAGGAGCGGAGCTGGGCGGAGAAGAGCCGAGCTGGGTGGAAAGGAGCGGAATGGAGCATACTTTTGAAATCGTGCATTTTTGCACTTAGTTCGTAGTTAGTTCTTAGTACTTGTTCATCGTCTCCGGTTAGCCCTCGTGGCTAGATGGAACGAACAATTTTAAAAAACAAGCCATTTCACCAAATTCTTTTTCTTAATTGACTGTAAGTCCACAAGTGGAAATTCACAAAAGTAGAAGTTGAAGAAGACTCGGGGGTCGTCGTAAGATGCTGGTGGGGATCTTGACTCGACTTCCGGTTTAATCTGATAGCCGTGGAAGCTCTCCTTCCCCAATCAGCCCAACGCATGTCGTTACATGCTAGCGGCCGATTTGTCCCGCCAAAAGCTTATCGGTTTCATACAGTTACTAGTTATCCCTCAGTTAAGATTGCGTTCCGTAAATAAGGTCGAAGTGATAGTAGTGCCATATACCAGACACTATTATTCGTATATTGTTTTATTCGGAAAAATTACTGACCGCCACGGACTCAAACCCCAGGACCCAAAAGACTAGAAATATAACAATCTATATAGGCAATGACATTTGAACCACTAAACTAATGAGGCAGCTTCTTTATAATTCTGTCAAAGCTTAGAATGTTGAGGGATCGAAATGTAAAAAACAAACAAATAAATGGATGAAAACAAAAATAACGACGACGAAAGCTTTATTCTTAAATTTCTAATTGGACTTTCAGCAGATCAATATAATTTATTACCTATCATTGATGACCATTTCATACATTTATTAATGTAATTATGTAATACTAATTTAATACAACTATACTTCACATAGAACTTATCATAAACTGTGTTTCAATACTATACACACAATTCCAATTAACAACAATGATATTATTTGAAAACTGTACTGACATTATGTACTTTTAAAGATTAATAATATTTAAAGATTGATTAGGAATATTCATACCATGATAATTCACTGCAATTTTATTAGATCTAAGTTAATTTTTTTTATTTCTATAACATGGCTAACCATATAGCAATAATGTAATATTATATTTTTTATACAATACTATAATTGTTTTTTTTTACAAAATGTGTATTCATTATAATTATTTGTTCAACAATTTTGTTTCTTGAATCACACTTTTTTAAAAGAATTTACAATGTTAAAGGCCAAATTTTTACAATAGCAAAAAGACCGTAAATACTGATATTAATGATTTATATATTTATATATATTTGCAACGTCTTGGAGTACAATGTTGTACAGTGGATTTCAAATAGTTCACTTTAATCACTTGCACTGTGCACTCATTTCATTCATTCATTTCACACCGCGATTAACGGTGTTAGTTGTATCAGAGGTTGAAGTTGTCCAATCGTAGCTTGCCCTCGTTCTCGGTTAGGTATAGTAGGTCTGCCATGGTCTGCTCGCAGATCGCTTCTTCTGCTTTTTCTGACATCTAAAGTTTAAAAAAACTTGTTAAAAAATGTCCCATCGCAAAATACGGTAGTATACAACTAGTCAAATTTAATACTTTTATCCAAATGCCACAAATGATATTTATGAAAATCCGAACTATGACGTCGTAGTATTTTGGAGTCAAATAGCTTACTTATTTCTTAAAATTTTGGTAAAAAATATCGAAATTTTAGTGTATCGAAAGATCGATGAATAAAAGTTTAGTAATTTTTCAGTGTTTTATTGCATGGAAACATCGAATTAATTTATTTTTTGATCCAAGTAACTACACAATCATGTTTGTGCTGATGATGGGTGTTGCCCGAAGAGCCTTGTAGAGCTTAGGCAGTTTTTTTAAATTAACAACTTTATCTTGGCACATTGGTGAGGTCAAGGACAAAAACTAAACCACTACACACCGATTTTGTCAATCTCTATTAGTGATAGGACGGCAAACGAGCGAACTTACTACCTGACGGTAAGCAATCGGCGTCGCTCATGGACACCGCAATAACGGAGTAGTTACGAGTGTGTACCCGACCTTTTGTGGATTAGGGTTTTTGAGATTGGGGAGGGGAAGGTTTGTGCCCTCGGCCTCGGTAACATCATTCACACGTCGAAAAACAACGCTATGGTTATTTCATGCAGTTTTATGTGAGCCCAATACATATATCAGTCAACTACTTAACTCAATGAAAACAATCTTAACAATAAATGTATTATGTAAGGACACACTTACCGGTCGATACTTGTATTCACTAGGTGGCGCATGTTTGAAATTAGGACCGAAGTTGACGCTGACCGTGACGTTTTTATGCAGCGACACGGTAGGATAATAGCAGCCTTCGTAAATATCTATAAATGCTTCGCCCTGACATTCTCCGTTTTTGAAATAGTAAATCTTACTCCCAGGTAAAGGTTTGAGATTGTTAAGAGATTCTTGTATGTTATCTTTGTCTTCATAATAAAGATGACTCTTGAATTTTACAAGTGGCTGGAAGAAAGGAAAATAAGGAATTAGTTAACATAATAATATTAATTAAACATGGTTGTCTTAATAAAAGCATAAGAATGATTTTGAGTCCACGTATGAATCTTGATTTAGAAAAATAAAACACGATTATAATATACTCAAAAAATAAATCAGCTGTATACACATACCCTGTCTTTGTAAGTATTGGGAGTATACTTAGTGGTGGCACTCTCTGGCAATACGATAAGGAAGCCCAGCGTGTCGCCTTCGCCATACCCATTACTGTAATGTTTTCCTTTAGACTCGTGGAATCTGAAAAAGTTTAATTCTGATTGTATTCAGGGTACTTAATAGACTTAACAGTATGTACATGTAGACCGTCAACTGAGTGTGTTTTGATGTGTCTCTTGGTTTTTTGTTTCCGGAATTGTTTGCCGTGTGGTTCCGAGTATGAGTTAGTAAAATGCTGACACTATACTGGAGAAAATCCTAATACGGGGCTAAAATGTAGAGAATCAGATTAACTTACCTAGTACCCTTCCGACTGCGCCAAGAATACCCAAACTTGTCGTAGCCTAATGGTGCTTGCAGGTTAGCATACCGTCGTCCCCAGCCCAGCCGAGTGGCCGCGCCCTCCGGCATCTCCTCCACACACACCTCCCAGTACCAACTGCCGCGAGATACACCTGGAAAAAATAAACAATTGTTTCTTCAAAATTGATGTTTACGGAACATACAATATAACGTGGGAGATCAATGAACGGGTCGGCTCGAAGAGATACTCAGGCCTTACATAAAACCAACGTGGGACAACAATTTATTGCACTATGCATCGCCGGTTGAGTCAAGATAAATCCAAAAAGTCGATTATCATAGACAATTTCAAGTCAAGTAATGTTTGTATATGTAACGTAGTTGAAAATTATTTGTACTCCTATATTTGGGGTAAGTTTCTGCTGTAAAATAATTCCATAAATGATTTTTCTTACCATGTGTAGCCCGCACCATGCAGTACCCCTTGTCCCCTGTTACTGCGAGCCTATCTTCAGATATCTTGAGCTGCGGCGCCCGATCATGCAGTGCTAGTAATACTATACCGGGGCATAGTGACCGGTACAGCCAGCCGGGGATCGGCTTACCACTCCATTCATTGCTCTCATCGAATTCCTTAAAAGAAAGTAATTTGATGTAATAACACCCGCACCAGAAGTATGAATGCATCGTAGCACAATCGTGTATTCATCATTCATTCACCGTACAAAAGACCAAGTCAGAGAAAGAAAAACATACAACAGGGTTTACGGTCGAAATTAATAACCAATCTCAATCCTTTCTTCTATCTTTCGATTTTGATTTTAAGCACAAGTCACGTCTAAACCTTACAAAACCGCTACAACTCCTGTAAGCCAGGGTCTACAGCAGATAAAACCATTAAAACACCAAAACACTGAAGTCCGACGCATCCGCATAAAAGATTAATGTGCGGGTAGGTATTGTCGTTAACTTCAACCGCTAAATAATGAATTCGTATCGTTATGGTATTAGGTACCGACCACTTTTATCACCATTTGAGATGAGCAAAGCTTCTGTGAATGTCAAGGATGCTTTTGAAACTGCATTTTGTGAAACCAATGTTTATTTACATTACTTTTCTTAGAAGAGTATGAGATACCTAGTACCTATCTATATCTTTGATACCCAATATTGATTTATCTTACCTGTCTAAAGGGTGCATGTGGGTCAGGCTCAGCCAGGATGTAACGATAGCCATCCTTGTTGAAGGGATGTTCTGTAGGGTAGCCGTGGGATGGTAGCTTCAAAGCTCCCAAGTCCGCAGTTCGACCTTTCTTGCCGACTGGCGCGCCCGCATCAGTCGCCCCGCCAACTGCCGGCCGACGCTTCCCCTGTCTACCCTTCACATTTCCAGCCAATGGAACTGAAAATACAACAAAATATATTTTCTTTGTAAGCAAGAAAAATCAATAGTAGGTATTGGCTCAGAGGTAACGTTATTGAATGCAAAACTGGTATTTTGATATTGAGATAGATACGTGTATTTATGCACATAAATTCTGTTTTTCAACAGACAATCCCTATTCTAAATACAACTTCTCTATTCTTAATACTGATTCTGTTACGTTATTAAGAAATTCATAATTCTAGAACCACAAAGAAATTTTGGTGCTCAAAAGTGCTACCAAAAAGCGAAACGTGCATTTAAGCGTAGATATGTTTTCAAACGACCAAGATATGTTTTCTAAACACTATTCAAAGGTACGTTGAAATACAAGAGCGCACGTGGTGAAATCATTAAGCAAACAAATACATTTTCATCAGCTGCGAGTTGGAAGGAAATTAGCATCGCTCATAATGAACACCATTGCAATTAGTGGCTCGGTCCAAACTTGATTGCATAGCTGTATAAGCGCTGTGGTGTTTACCTATATGGCGTGTACACTGGTCCTTGTTACGTTTTTACAGTTAAAATATGGAAAGAAGACTAAGAAAGTATTGATCGATCGAACGTATAGTATTTGATTACATTTTGGAGATATTGGATATCGGATTTAAGTCTTTTGCTCTCGAGCACTTGTAATTCATTTTGAATATTCTTCAATTGTTTTGTTGCTAACTATAAAGTAAAGAATAGTGCTACAAAAAATGTTTTTCGTATGTTTTCTAGACTTAATCCAGTTTCAAATGAGGAGTAGGTATAGTTACTCGTAACGATATCACAAGGAAGCGTGTTCTGTCAAGCGTAAACTTAAAAGATAGAGCTGAGTTATAGTACTAGAATAAAACCATATTTTGTTAGTGTAAACTATCTTAAAAGGTGCCTTTAGATCATCTTGTGAATTGAGAAGCCTCGCGCCAAATCTGTGTATTTACGATGATAGTATTAGTACAAAACAGATATTTTAAGGTTTGCTTATGAAGTGCAAAATTACAAATTCCAATCGGCATGAGAAGAAAAATTACACAGTACTTGTCAGCGTAGTTTACCTAATAAAAAATGTAGTTAGGTAATTTATTCACATGAGCACATGAGCATATTAACACTCGAACCATTATACTCGTAGACTGAAGTTATTCTATTTATAATACTGAAGATGAAAATAGCATGAGAGACCATTAGCGAAGATGGTATTGTTTTATAAATATAGGAGTAACAATAACTTTGGACAAACGTGGACGATACACGCGAACGATGACAGATGCTGGCTTCTTTAGGGCAAACATACGCGACCTCATTTTACATCAAAGGAATTCGTTTATTGGTTCTGACTAGTTAATAAAGGTCTCTGTAATATTAGCGTAATACAAGCACCTGAAGATTTGTACGTCGAAAATATTTCTATAACGTATCAAGATTAAACCTTATTAATCAAATGTGTTGTTGTTCATTTTTCTTTCCTTCAAAAGACGAAAAGAGGGCAATTTGATGTGGGTATTATTTACGAAGGTTCTGAGTTCGTAATAGGGTGAAACAAGGACAAACCTCGGCGTGCGTCACGGCATGACTTTCTAAGAAAGGCTTCGAGGGCGAAATTATTTATAGGTAGACGCGTAATGGGCATGATGGGGCTTATTGAGCGTGTTATTTCCAATGATGTTAACTAGCTCGAAGCACTGACCGGTAGTCACCTGCGTCATATCGATCCATACTAAAACTACGTTTGGTATAGAGCTCGTTTCGTTATATGAGAAATGTCCACATAATTATAATAATATACATATTATTCGACACAAACACCGATATTTCGAACAAAATACCTACACCAGATAACGGTTGTGGCGCGGCCATGCTCACAACTTCCTCATTAAACTGTGGTTTGATACAAGAAAAATATCTTTATGACGGCTATAAACACCGCAACAACATGCGATTTTACGATATAAACAGGTTAACGTGAATGCAGCTTTATTGCAAAGACGACGATCAACTCCTAATTGAATAAACGAATGATAGAGACTCGTATTGTGCACGCCGGCCATACCAATAGCATAACTGCAGGAAACAATTATTTATGCAAAAGGATGTCACACCATTCCACAGAGACCAACCATTTAAATAAACTAAAATCATTTAAAATCTTAACAACTTACTATCCATGTCGTCAACACCGATAACTTGACTAACTGACAAACTTGTCATATATTTAGTGCAAGTGTTGATAAGATAAAGTCCGGGTATCGAGACGAACCAACGCGATCATATTGGTTCTTACGTGACGAACAACACAACTATGTGGAACACCCTACATCAACAACCCATCAACCTCGCATTCTTATACGGAATTAAAATACTTTTAGACTCATACATAGCGTTACATTAACGAGATAAAAACACGACGCCAATACATAGACGTAGCTACCTATATGTAAACATTTGTTCAAGGCAAATTACGATTCTGATAACAGATAGCCGTGTAAACTAATTATGTATGCACATAACATGCTACGGTGTGACAGTGAATTCGAAGAGAAAATAAAAAAATAATCGGACGTAACTTACCAGCCATAAAGTTCAAGGTGATTATGAAGTGAACTATTTAAATCTAAAATCAATAAAGGAGAAATCGCGCGGCTAACGCGACGGTCCTATGTGTACTTATCGTCGAATATACGGACACACTAACGTAGAATATAGTGTTTTAATGCCGCCGCTGTGTGCGTCGCGGAGTTAGTGTTTACATACACCAATGCATAAAGAACAATGTCATTATTCAATAACATGTCTTTGTGGTGGCTCTACACTTCTCTGTAGGTATGCAACGCGCGTTACGTCTGTAACTTTTTCAGTGTTTTGGACACTTTCCAAGGCGACATGTTAGTCGGTCAATTATGGTGTTTATACTACTCAACAATCCTAACCTGACGTTATTATATTGAGGTCAGATGAGTAGGTCGCGCTCGTCACAAGCCTCTTCCCTGCGACCGTAAATATTATTCTACAGTACCGTGCTAAATTGATGATTTATTACAACAATAAATATTAATTTATTTTAAGTACTTGATTGGTTCTACTTATGAGAGTTGTCTTTAAATTGTTACTGTACAGTTGGAATAATCTTGATAAATAATTTTCAATTAATTCATAGTTTTCCCGCTAAATATAAATATGTAGTAAGTTGAGTTTTATAGCTAATAATAATTTCAAGGATAAAAAATATTTAGTTGATTACCTCAACATAGTAATATTGGAAAATAATATTTTATATCAGACAATATTTAACAAACAATTTCTGAAGAATTTTATTCAAAATCATACATATAAGACTGTATTATAGAAAATATGCTTCTGGCTCATTTAGGGCTGATTTTTCAATGGTCAGATAAAAATTACCTGGAGAATAATTATGATGCTGTCGCATGAGAATGTTTGTATTTAAGACAGTGACAGCAACAACTTTATTCCTCAGATAACATTTATCTGACTATTGAAAAATAAGCCCTAAATCAAATAGTCCAGTGTAAGTTAAGTTACTCGCACCACATTCCTGAGATTGCCTGATAAAAAGCATTATTTATGAATATCTTTACATTTTAGTATGAACATTTCTATAAAATTACTTAGGTATGTCAACCACATTTACTCTAGAACTTTAGTACCTACATGATATGTATTTTATCTTAAAATAGAAAAATCATTGACTTACTTGTAGCTATACCCATGTCAGTGACTTTAAGCTGTCCTTGCTTAATCATAGCTTCATAGTTAGGCTTGATAGCTGTTAGTTCCATATTGTATAGCCCAAACATAGGTCCTTGGTTGGCGTCTTCTTCATAAGTAAACAGTACTTGTATATCTTTTATTAGAGCTCTTTGAACTGTTGCATACCAAGATTGAGTCACTCTGAAACAAGAATGTGATTAAGAAAATGAACTCTAGACTATAAAGAAAATGTATCTGTCGACTTAGACCCACTGAAGTCGCTAACAAAAGACTAGAGAAATTTCATGAGATGCTCAAATGGTTCTGCCAGTTGTGTGCACCAGTGCTACAAAGTTTAAACACACCACTTTTATGCTAAGATTAACCAGCTGGGCCATTTTGATGATTGGGTTTTTTAACTAAATTACAATCCACACTCCATAGAATAACTTTAATTGGCAATCTATACTAATATTATAAAAAGGTAAAATTTGTAAGTTTGTATGTAGGGGATGATCTTTGGAACCGCTGGTCGGATTGCCAAATTTTTTTCACTGTAGATAGCTACAATGTTCCTATGTGCTATAGGCTATAAAACTTCACGCTACGATCAAATGGAGCCGGAGCAGCGGGTGATACCGCGCGAGAGGAGCTAGTTTTAAATATAAATAAGAGCATTTGAAATTGTAGCATTTTTTTGTGTGTGTAAAAAGATATTACCTTAGCTTTGCAAATTCACTAATTTTCTTGACAAATTAAACTTTTTTTTATTTACAGGTAATTGTTATGTCTAGCTTTACCTTCTTGGCATAGTGGTCATAGCTTCCCAATACTGATCAATGTATGGTATGATCTCACGGTCTTTACTAAATAACAGTCGGTTGGTGCCTTCCTTTACAGTCTCCTGCCGCAAGTTCGCAATAGCTGTGAGACACATCTGCGGGAATGCTGTAAAACATTGGACTGTGTTAATGCTATTCAGAATTCCTGGGGTGCTGGAGAGTGGCATAGGTGAATTGGTAGTCAAAATACCACAAAAAGAAAAAAAGTTAATAGTCATTAATAACCTACATAATAGCCATTGCCAGTTATTATTATGATGTATGTAGAGGAAGTTAATCAACTTGTAATTAGTACTAAAACAACTATCTCATAACACTGATCAGTGTGCCATTTACCTTGAAGGTCAAGACACAGGTTCAATGATTGACAACAAAGTACATTAGTATTAGCAGAAGCAAAGATAAAATACTTGTTTACTATTTTATATGACACTTAGTAATGCAAATACTCACGAGCCTGATTCTTCTTGAATGTCTCAAGTCCCGTTGGTGAGCAGTTCTTGCAAATAAACAAATAGTTCGTCATGAACGGTACCAACTTGCCAAGCTGGTAACCAATGCATGATTCGTGAAACCATCGATTGCAAGAAGCACACAACAACTCTGCTATGTTCAGATTTCGATCTTTCCCGCTAAAATGACAAAAAGGTTATTGATGAAAGTGCATTCCATTTATAAACGAAATATAATCTAAAGAGCTATACCGACCAGTAACAGTTTCCTTGAGATTCATTAGAGGTTTTATTCGATTTGTTTCTCTCTGCATTTTCTCCCGGCTTTTGAGATTCTGATTGATTGTTGTGAGCATTGTTGGAACCATTTTCGGACTCCGTAGACTTTTTGTATGAATCTGTATTATTTGACGACATTTTTCAACAATAAACAAATCTCACAATTGAAAATGTAATACCTGCTCACATTTTACGATTAAAACTACGTAAACTTTCTAAAATAAATAAAATTTTGGACTCGCGAGAACATAGGACAACAACGATCAAGGTAGGTAAAGATTTAATACAACGAAATTAAATACGAATGCATTGAGTACTGAATGGATAGAGATAGCGCTAGTATTGCGTGTATTTGCATAGAGTAGAAAGAGATAGAGCATGAGTTGACATGAAAACAAAGATATCACATTTGGCTGGATAAATTCAGTTCAGAAATAAGCAAATACCAATAAATAATGATTATTTTTCTTCGTAATAACGGAATTATACTTAAACATAAATGTATTTAGCTTTTAAATATATAAATTAGAAGAGTATAGAAGAAAAGATACCTAAAATAACATCATAATTTTCAATTTTATCAAAATACTAAACGGAATAAAATTCGTTCACCAATCATCAGCAGTCATCGTATTTTCAAACTTCAAAATTAAATCACAAACCGTTGTCGTGGAAACAGATTTGTTTACGATTAAATTATTATTTAAATAAACGTTACATTTTTTTTTTCTCTCATAAAAGTACTAATAACTATTATATTTTCTGCAATGGATTCTGTAACGAGCACGGATAACGTGTGCATGGACATAAAGATGACTCAAGAAAATATACTGCTTGAGATTATCAGGGAAGTTTGTTGTGAAAATAACAAACTGTCGGATAAATTGAAAGGCAAAGTTAACAGAATTATTGCTGATTGTGACTTGTCGTATTATTCGAGCCTACACAAGCTAAGTACAGGAGATGAGAGCACTGCCACTGTGTTGGGTGAGAATTTTTAATCTTATTGAATCAATGCTGTTTATATCCTTTGCCCATCGCTATCTATTCGTCCAATGAAATAAATCACTGTATGATCTTCATTATCGTAATACTAAGTGCACAATTGCGTTTCTTTAATTTTTTTTCCAAAACACAGACTTAGTATCTGCCTCTAAAACAACCCATTTACCGAAATTTACTTAGTACAAGTAGTAGTACGCATAATAACTTATGTCTTGTAAGATTACCAATTTAAAGCATTCACTACCTAAAATAAGACAGTGAAACATCAATGTGGTGACGACAGGGACATGTAAATTGTATGATCACTGTTATTGGTTCTTTCATGGTGTCAACATTGTTCATCATATTATTAATAGATTATCTCTTTTCACCTTCTCTTAAATAATTAAATTGTCTATGTATGAATGCTGTGTATACCTGTCAGTAATAGGCATGTTTATTTGGTCTTTGGTTGTTATATTTATTGCTAGTATATAATTTATGATATGTGTGCTGTTGGCCAATAAATAAAAAAAAACTTGATAGATATTTCATTGTATTTGGCTATACAATGCCATAACTTGTTCTTGACCAAATTGAAAACCTTTGTTTTCCTATTAACTGTATGTGTGATGTGCATGAATAAAACAACAAATAAAATAAATAGAATCATTTCTGTTCCAGGATTCATGCACCAATCTGCAGCAGAACTGACATTTGATGAACAATCAGAATTCAATCAGGCTGTTCTTCAGAAGATACAAACTAAGTTGCCAGCCTTTACTACAGAGCTTGAACATCTTAAACAGTCAACTAAAAATGCAAAACCACTGCAAGACGAGAAGAAGGAACTTCAGAACAGTATTGATGATAAGTTAAGTACTCTGGAAGAGCAAGAGAGTGAGAAAGTGGAGCTGATGATGGAGTGGTTAAACCATAGGCTGAGAGATGTTACCAAGTTCAGTCATGACTCCAGTGAGCTGCTGACTCTGAAGACTAAAATATTGGATTTGAAGTCTAAGTGAGTGCTTGCCAAACTGCTATTTTATAGTTGTGGATGATGTTTCCAAGCGTGACAGTAGTCCAGGAAGTTAACTCTTTACTCTAAATTCTTTCTAGCTTTCCATGGACCTCTCCCACACTAGGCCTTGTGAATCTTGTAGTGGTAGTCCTCTGAATATCCTGAATACTAAAAATTCATTGCAAAAAGGAAAGAGTGAATTAACTAAAATATTATTTTACCACGGTAACATTTTTCCCATTAGCAAACTGTCTGTTCGTCTGTCCAAATATTGCTAAAATAGCTTTAATAGTACTTATTAAATTTTAAAACATTCCCCAGATATATTGCAGCATCTGTATTATGACATCACATGGGATACTAGTACAGATTATGTCTGAGTCGTTACATATGTACCATTCTTATAACAATTTTTAACCAATCATGTTATTTACTTAAATTACTGTAGTGTAGTGTAAGTTGCAAAATTTAGCACAATCCCAGAAACCTTGATGTTATAACAGAATTGTTTTTTAATTTGATTGTTCATTGTATGATTGTCTAAGTGAGATTTTGAACCACAAAATCCTTGAGTCTATTCCCATGTTGGCTTCTTGGCATTATCATTTTTATATTTATTTAGTTTATTTTCTATAGTCCTGAATAGGATACACTAGGTGATGAATTTGAATGCAGTTGATTGTTGTTTTGATAAGACTGTTGTCAGACACGGGACTCAAACCTCCTTGTCCGGCAATGACTCTTGTGACTACATAAATCGAGGGACAGAATATAATATGTATGATGTACCGAAAATAGGGTAGTATATCATTAGTGATGATCTTCACTAATGGACTTTTATAAACATAAAATTTGTTGTAAATAAAAAGTAGGTTTTAGACTATAATAGACAATATTCAGAGTTTAAAATTACCTACTTAATTAGAGTGAACATTATTCAATGTTCTTAATTACCTATACTAACCAGACTGCACGGTTGGCGCGGTAGCTGGGCAACTGACAGCCATGTAGCGTGTCGCGGTTTCGATTCCCGCACGGAACAACTCTTTGTGTGATCAACAAATTGTTGTTCCGGGCCTTGGTGTGATTGTGAATGTGAAATTGTATGTTTGTAAACGCAACCCACAACATAGGAGAAAAATCTGGTGTGTGGCATCTTTATAAAAGAAGAAAAAAAAGTAATGTTACTAAGAAGATTAACTACATGTTGCGCAGTGATTTGTGCCAGGCGCCTTTTTCTCATTGTAGACATATAAATTGGTTTTTGATGGAAGGATGGTAACCAGATCTACTTACTGACTGTCGTAATCGGGACTCCTTTCACTTTTATCTTTACTTAAAATTAAATACTTACATAAATAACATAGCTTATTATTTTATTCTTTCTTTACAGGATTCTTCACCTACAAATTCTGCAGAACATTTTTACTGAAACGAATCAGTCGATCAAAGCTTACAGTGAGATACATAAGGACATGAAGGAGTCTATTAAGGAAACCGAGCAGAGGATCAAACAATTTAGGAGCATTATTGATAGTGATGGCAATTGAGTATAGATAGACCAATACACGTGTTTTGTGCTAAAACTAGGTAGGTGCTTAGGGCCTTTGCACTTGAAATGCTGGGGCGGTTGGAAAGTATTTAGCTTTAGTAGTTCCTTTTTTTTTTAAAATAACGATTTCCTCACGTGGTTTAATAGAGAAAAGCTTGACACGAACGGCTTATTCATGAGCAGCGTGCGCAGTGTCCCTGCTATGTATGAGCGCCAGAGGCTATGTTCTGACTTGAAATTAGTAAAGCTTTTCTCAGTTTATTCACGTGTCTAAGTCGTTGTTTTCAATTAATTTTGTATATCTCACAAGTTTAATAACCTAGGTAACCTAATTCGTTTCTTACAAAACACATAGGTACCTATTCAAAACTTTTCAGCCGCTCAAGTATTACGTACATAATTATGTCTGACGTCTTAAGCTTATGTAAATGTTCACCTAATCGATTGAAGTTAAAAATTCAATGCCAAAATAGTGTGGAATTTGAATGAGAAATGAATTTATATATTTATGGTCCAAACAACAGTGTATTCAGATGTTCTCACAGAATAACTGCAACTAGACTGCCCGATTGGCGCGGTAGCTGGCCAACTGCCTGCCGCGCACCGTGTCACGGGTTCGATTCCCGCACGAAACTACTCTTTGTATGATCCATAATTTGTTGTTCTGTGTCAGGTGTGATGTATATGTGAAGTAGTATCGTTGTACGACCGCGCCCACACGGCCCACGACACTAGAGAAATTCCTAGCGTGAACAACGTTTAAATAAAAATAAATTAGTAAAAAAATAGGTTATTAATAATACCTAATACCTTATTTAGAGGTTGTATTAACTTGTGCAAAAGCGCCTGCATCCAGGTCTGTTTGCCATTTTGGCGTTATTGTTTGCAATAGATATCCATATACTTACGTTCCTATTTGTAAAGTTCACTACCTATTAAGGTAAATTTATTATTTCAAAACTAAGAAGTCAGTGGGATACTTTTGAACATTTTCCTGAAGATTGTCAAGAAAAAAACTTATGTCTTGTGCCAACATTAACATAAATAAACTAGTCGTCTCCACAGTCGGTTATTTTTAAAATGAGGATTCCTTATTATTTGCCTGTAATGTGTGAACAGGAAATATTATTTTCATTATGTTACCTATTTAATCTTTTTGTTTCTTTAATACTTTTCTGAATAAATAATGTTTATTAATTTGAATAATGTTTTTCTACTTATTCTTTAATTTAAAGATCTAAAGTCCATCGTAAACCTTTGACCGTCTTAGAAACTATATACCTACAAAATACCTTCTTGTAGTTTTTTTATAACCTGATGGTAGTCAATCAGGGCTGCCTATGGAAATCCGTAACAATGGAGGAGTTACCGAGTTCGTTACCGACCTTTTTTGACCAATTTTGGCATTGGGCAGGGATTGGGGGAGGGGAAGTATTGGGCATCCGGTAACCTCACTCACACGGCGAAACACAACGCTGCGGTTGTTTCACGCCGGTTTCTCTGAGGCCGTGGGATCACTCAGTTCGAGCCGACCCAATCGTGCCGAAGCATGTCTCTGCCACACGGTCCAACTATTTTTATTCGGTACGGTACGCGGTTGTTACTGTATTTTATAAAATAGGTACCTAGATACTTCATTTATTTTATAAAATGGAATAATTAAGAAGAAAGAAATAAATAAGACACAATTGGTACCTATTTAATTTCAGATCAACAAACTATAAAGAGGAATATTTAGGTACTTACATAGGTACTTAGGTATGTCCAAAGAACGACAGATATTTTTTATTTAGATACTCATTAAAAATAGGCTGAATTGTTTATGAGGAAAACACTATTGATGAGTCAAGAAATAAAATTTAAAACAAAAAAGTTTAAACCCGTTCCATTTCTAAAAATAAATGGTCAATGGCATTTTATCTTTTCCCGCCAGGATTCGAGGAAAAAATATTTTAAATATAAAAAAAAAACATGGTAGACAAACAAAGTTGGTACCGAACCTCATTAGTTACATTACATATTTTACTAACAACTGTGTTTAAAATATAAAGGAACTTGAGCATACATCGTATATAGTAATAACAAAAGAAGTTGACATTGGCGATCAGATTATAGTCGTCTTAATTCTAACTCAGTTGGAAGCTAAACCCAGACGTGAGCGGTCGTGTCCCATCCATGTGTCAACAAAATTAAGTGATATCGTGAAAAGTGAAATAAAAATGATTGAGAACTTATCGTCTATTGTCGAAGCATTAAGCAAATCATTCAGGTAAGGTTTTTATTTAAGCATGCCTTTTTTAATTCTAGTTTTTGTACATTAAAACGTTGAATCTAAGTCATTGATAAGTATGTAAACATATAAAATTGGTTTGCCTCCAGATAATTGTTATTGTAAATACACGAGTCACCAAGTATTTTATTCGAGTAACTATGAATAAATACTTATTAATTCTTGTATCAAAGTGCGATTTTTTTCCGCTTTACCTAATGAGATTTTTAAACGAGATACAAAAGCATGGACGTTTTTCATTATAAGCAAATAATATCTGTCCATTTCAATATCCTCAATAATAAATGCCATCTGCAAGCCTATCAACTAGTAATCGGCAATTGGTGTAGCAGTCTTGGTATTTTATCAATTTATCATCAATGGAGGAATGTTTATAGTACCTACCTACCTACCAACCACAAAAAGTCAACAACGCAAACACATGTGCAAACACATGTGTTTTATACAGGGTACCCCACAGATTACAAAATAAAAACGACACAGTTGACATAGACGAACAAAAAAATGTAGACAGACCTTAGGAATGCCATCCATGTTGTGTGGTCGGCTAATTAGTTATTTCCGCATTGTACTATTTCTTGTGTTAATCAGAGTACCCGTATCTTAGCACAATCAAATAATTATGATGTAGCCGTCGTGACAGTTCGTTGCATCGAGTTTTGTTACGACTAGTTCTCATACAAACCGCTCTTTGCATCAGGAGGGGATATTTTTAAACTGTTCCAGTTTTAAAACAAGGAATTAAGCTACTTAGATAATTACCTACCTACTCGAAAGATTGCGTTTTTAAAGAATTTTCAACACTATTGTTACAATGCAGATCAAAGAAACATTATTGCTTTGTACGTTTTTTAAAAAAATATGCAGCCTATTTACCTTGTAGTCTCTTTTAGATCTTGGGTATCTATGAAATGTCTTGGGTATAGTTATTTGAAGGTGATGTCTTTTTTTGTAGACCTTTCGTAGTTAAGCATGTTGCGGTTACTAACTAGTTAACCGAATTAATGGCGAAACGAATCCAAATTCAAACATAAGAGCTAAAAATAATCCGCTTGAGTCAATAAAATGCAGCACATCGAAATAAATTTTTTCATGTTAGCGCCATATTCAAAAAGTCTTCTAGAATTTGGCGCGAACAGAGCGTTAATGCCCATTAATTTTAATCATGTTCAATTTGTCTGATAGTACACGTAGCACTGTAGTAGAACCTACTGGAAACAGAAAATATATTGGAGTCTAAGAAAAATTGTTTTTCTCCCTGAAATTCATAAACATTTGCCCCATAATTGGAGTAGGCAGAAATACCTACTAGGCACCTTCTCCCTAGGAACCATGATCGGAACATACTAATTTCGTTCCCCCGTCAATCATACAGATGCACCGGTTAAGAGCTAACCGTTCTTGACCTCTTTTGAAGACCTGTGCATCGAAATACCTAGGTATACTAATAGCTAGGTATCAGTATAAAAACATTTGGACAAATTAATTAGGTACCTAGCTAAACTTAGATATTATGTTGGGAAAATAAATGTTATAAAAGACAATACACAAAATTATACCTACGTATAATTTTGTGTATTGTCTTTTATAAACTTCTCAAATCTTAAATAATGAGGTGATGCTTGAAAGACTCGCCAATGTCAAAAAATGCTTTTTCAAAAGTAGGTAAGTACCTACTTTGTCTAATGCTTGTCGCTGTAAACCAACCTTGGCACTACTGACACAAACAATAATTTAATTAGTGAAGTGAGTGACAAATGCTTATTGGGTACTTAAAGTAAAAAATCATAATTGCATCTTAACTAACCAATTAACGTTTGACATCACGTTAAAACGGCTTTTTTTAAATAGAGAAGGAGCATTGACTTGAAGTTAGTAACAGGTTATGTTATAAACCCTGAGAAATTCTACCCATAAATACAAATAAAATATATATGTATGTAGACCCAAATGGGAACCCAAAAGATGACCTAGACAGCAACTTTTACGGGTCTGCGGTCGGCGAGTAAGGGCAGCTCGCTGCCCAACCAGAACCAGGCCCGAGCGTACGGCGCGTAGCGTTCCGCGCGCGCCTCAAAGAGCCAATAGACCATCACAGACGGGGCCCTAAAGGGCTGATGTTCAGCCGGGGTTGCGGGGTAAGCGCAATGAGGCACCACGACCTCGGCCCAGAGCAGGAGAAGGAACAGGGGGTTTTTAGTCAGTAAGAGACTAACACTCCCTCCCGCCCGGCCCTGGGCGGGAGAAGTCATTTGATGATTTTCCTCTCACAAAAAAAAAACACATCAACTTTTAACGTTGAATGTAAGTTAGGTATACTTACAGAACAATAGAACCGCATGGATCCATTAATAAATGCTATCTAGTCAGAAGTTTCTCATCGTCATTAATATCTAATGACGTAGGTACTCACATACAGGCTCATAAAATTGCTAGTCATTCTGTTAACGTTTATAGCCTTGGATCTTGCAGTTAAGATTTTTTTATAGCAATCTGCAGACCTTCTTTGGTATACTTATTTTATATTGACCTTTCATTGTACAACAGCTTATCCATAGCAGGCTATACCTCCCATATGTCCTATCCACCTGTCTCCGGTATAAACCTATGTGGGAAGAAGTAAAACTGACACACTGCCTAGTCGACCGAGGCTTACAAGTGCGATTGCTGTGTGAATTGTTTAAGAGTTGGTTTTATAGAATAAATCAGTATAATAGCATCAGGATCATCTGATGGTATGCTCACTCATAACACCATAGCAAACAAAAGAGCCGCCATGCCCACCCGTGATCCCATGGTCCCGTTGTTCCATTCTCAAATTTACTTCGAACCGACTAGAATAGTCTTCTAATCAACCGAATCACTCCTACTTATAATGTAAACCTTCTTTAACTACATAGGACTTATAGAGAACTCCATCTATGTGTACCAAAATTTTGTAACAAATAGTTGTGACTTAACACCATTTTGATCATTGTCCCAAATTCATATTGAAAGAAGGAAACATTCTTCATAGATAACGGGCATTCGTTTGCCTACATTTCGTAATGCCACCTCGATACACCTGATAAAACCTTATCGGAGTTACGATGAATACCTGCACTTATACTTACATATATATTTTCTTACACGTGAACGTTGCAAGTTATTGACTGATAACAGTTATTGGGTCGGCAAGTAATCAATATCTAATCGTAGTCTTCGGTTCGAAGAAGAAAATTCTGATACGTTTTACCTTGTCAAAATAATATATCTAATAAAAGTATCACTAAAGGATTTAAGTAGATACTTAGCAACATAAAATAATTTATAAATAACTGCACTCCTTCGTGTTCAGCTCGGAAGATAACTATTACCATAAGGAGTTTTAAGTCACTACGACGACCTCCGGTTGAGCAACGTCGCCGCGAGCGCACGCTGCTCATGAATTAGAGCCCCGTTGTGACTTGAAACTAGTAGAGCATTGCTCAGTCCATTCACGTGAGTACCTAAGTCGTTGTTTTCAAGTATGTCTCATGGTAGTTACTATGTATTCAAAAAACTCTTTATAAAAAAAAAGATCCATTTTGATTTGTATGCTACAAGTCTCATTGCCAATTAAGCGATGTGAAGGGTGATGGCTGCGTAGTTTCGTTTCGATGTTTTTTATATTACAATGCGTCATATAATTACATGTTCAAGTTGAACTCTTTGTTTTATTTCCGCGATGTAGGTACTTATATCAACGAAATAAGTACAAAGGGCAAATATAATGGAAAGGACAAAGGTTCATGGATGAGCAAACTGTGACTAATGACCCTGTTTAGTTTACGTTGTAATTAAATTTGTATACTTACTCTAAGAAATTATAGTACACTAGTGGCCCAATCCTTTCATAAGAAAGAACCTTCTCCTGAGAATAACAAATACTAAAAAATAATAAGCGAAATTGGTTCAGGCGTATTTGAGTAACTTGCCCTTACGCATACTAACACATTTTGCAATTCCTCGATTTTATATAGAAAGAGCGTTGTGTTTCGCCGTGTGAGTGAGGTTACCTACCGGAGACCCAATCCTTCCCCTCCCCCGATCCCTCCCCAATCCCTTAATCTCCAAAACATCACAATTCCTAAGAGGTCGGCAACACACTCGTAACTCCTCCGTTGTGGGTGTCCATGGGCGGCGCTGATTGCTTACCATCAGGTAATCCGCATGCTCGTTTGCCGGTCTATAACATAAAAAAAAGATAATATATTAATACCTAAGTATCTACTACTGTAAGTACGTACTTATTTAACGTAATTAGGTAGGTCAACTTTGTACTGTGATCGAAGCAAGTTCATTTACGATATCTAGTCCTCGTTGTATTTATTAATAGAACTTCTCGTTAAAAACAAGAACGATGACGTATTAAATTGTACTTGATTGTACTTTTGACCTAGAGAAATATAATCTGCACAATGATATCGCGTTTTGTGTACACGCGCTACTATATAAAGCTACCTTTATCTAAGGGCCTACGCAGATAGTTCATTTGACCGGATTCGTCGTGGAGAATTGGGTAATTTCGCGTTAAAAAAGAATTATTTGACTTTTCAATACAATCAATGACTTCATAAACTTGGTATAGGTAATCATACTTTTATTCGACTATACTTATTGACGATGTACTATCTTACTTTAGTTTTCCCGCATATCTATACTAGATGTGGCGTAAAAACATTAACCTACTTGTATTTACGTTGTTATACAAAGTTTATTAGAATAGTTTTTATATATTTTGTTAAAATAATGAAACAACTAGTTAGAAACTACCGGAGAGTCCTCTTCGTGAGTGGGTAGGTTCTAGTAATGGTAGGTAGGAAAGATAGGAAGGAGTCAACTTTTCGGTGGATCTTTTTCGGAATCCTGTATCCTGTTACGACGGCCTCGCCAAAAATTGGTGTGAAAAAAGCACAGCGTTGTTTCGCCGTCTGAGTGAGGTTACCGAAGGGCCTTCTCCTCCGATTCTCCATTCTTCCTCTCCCCCGATAGCTAAATCTCCGAAACCTAAAAATGCTGACAACGCCCTCGTAACTCCGCTTGTGTTGCCGATTGCTTACCATCAGGAAATCCGTGTGATCGTTTGCCGTCCTATCACATTACTTTTAATCTATATAATCTATGGATGAAACCAACCTCGGTGGAAGAAAATAGAAAAATATGTCGTAGAAAATAGTACCTATTCCTACTTACACATAACTTGTCGATAATTCCTAGTTACCTAGGCAGCTAGGCAGTAAAGATATTAAAAATAATTACATATGTACTTTGAGTAAGTATCTATTAAAACCTTTATCGGTAGCATTAAAAGATAGGTGTAATAACCACAGTATTAATCATTTTACTACTTATGAACAAGCCAACGAGATTAGATATAGGTAGGTATGCTGTGAATCATTTCGCAATAATGTCCCAATAACAAAATGTCCACAATACGGTAGCGTCCAACTAGTTAAATTCAATACTTTTATCCAAATGTCAAAAACGATACTTTTTTTATGAAATTTGTATGAAACACTGAGTTATGACGTCATATTATTTTTGCGTCAAATAGCTTACTTATCTAAAATATCTAAAACTTAGTGTCTCGATCGATCGATGAATAAAAGTATAGTTATTTTTCAATATTTTTTTGTATTTAAACGTCAAATTAATTTAATTTTGAACTAGGAAACTACCCAATTATCTACTTTTAGACTACTACTACTACTACTACTACTACTACTACTACTACTACTACTACTACTACTACTACTACTACTACTACTACTACTACTACTACTACTACTACTACTACTACTACTACTACTACTAGCACTATTATTTTAAGTAAAGAAACCATTTTTTAAATCTCCCAAATCTTATGGTTTTCGAATTTCATTTCGATAGGCACGTGCTTAGATTAATTAGCCAATGCACCCAAGCACGTAGGTACGTAGGTAAAATGTATCTTAGATTTGAGTTCTATGATAATAAGAAAATTTAGAAGGTAGAAGAAAGCAAATGAATATCTATCGGAAACTTTAAGTAAAATTGGATAAAGATGGATAGTCTGTATCTAATTATCGTTAGTAAACCATGCATATTATGATGTCTATTAATTACTAACTAAAAAAAACATCTACTTTTTTCATCCGAATTAAAATCTAAAAGTACCATATTCTGTGTTCCAGCCAAATATCGACGCTGCTGGGCATACAATGGGCTCCCATGGATATCCCGATGTCCCGTCGCCTCCAGACCTTCGCCGCTTTTCTCTGGATCTACTTGATACTCTTTGGAGAAGCTTTTGCAATATATCTCTTCATTAGGCTGGTGTACTCCAAGTATTGGTGGGCGGCGCTACTGTATGGAGCATGGATGTTGAATGATATTGAGATATGCAACCGTGGTGGACGATCGTAAGTTATAATGGTTTTCTTTATATAGAATATAAACATATAAATGAAATTTTTAAATATTTCTTAAAAATAGAATAAAAAGCATTTAAAAATATAAAGAATAGTGTCCCACCAGTATTGGGAACAGGGTCCTACCGGCCTAGGTCAGGGCTCCAGAGAAAGGAACCTACTGACAATACGAGATGTGTCCAGGAGTACCGCTTTCTGAATCAAGCCCTTGATTCACCTAACGAGAGCCTCCTAAGGCCTTCGTCGAGGTTCTTAGCTATTAAGCCATTGGCTAACACGACTATCGGTACAATGATACCCGAATCCACTTCCCACATGTCGACAACCTCACGTGCCAAGTCAATATACTTGATTAGCCTATCTTTCTCAGCTTTCACGATCACGGTTCTCGTCATGTGGAACGGCTATGTCAACAATCATTGCACGCCTCTCGTTTCGGTCCATCACCACTATCAGTTTAGTCCTGTCAGTGATGATAGACCGATCCCAGTACATGACCATTTTCAAGAACTGGGTCGGTCTCATACCTGTCTTACGGCACTGCCGATTCCACAAGAGAGTACTTCAGAGCAAGGTGCTGATTGGTGATCCTGGCTATTAGGTTGTGCCCTATGCAAGTACTCGCCGTTAGCTAGATGAGAACAACCTGAGATTATGTACCTAATGGTTTTATTATCATGCAGTTATTACATAAACTTCTTATTATTAAAAAATGTCTGTGATAAATCCGGTTCCATTACTCTCTACGCTGTCATCTTCCGATAATAATAAACAAGAAGTTTAGCTTCATAAGAAAACAACCGTATCTGTTCTCAAATGTGCAGTCCTTTGCTCAGCTCTCGATCCCTTAAAAGATAGGAGTTCAAGCCTGTGCAGGCAAATGCCATCGTCACACGACGCATAGTCGTCCATAAATTGAGTTTTGCTCTTCTTTCCAATGAAGTTAATTTATCATCTTGCTTACTGTCTTACATTTCTAATTCCAGGTCAGAATGGGTGAGGAGTTGGATATGGTGGCGGTACCTAGCCGACTACTTTCCAATCAAGCTAGTAAAGACTGTCGACTTGGACCCTTCCAAAAACTACATGTTTGCGTGCTTCCCCCACGGTGTTATATCCCTTGGAGCCTTTGGAAGCTTCTGCACTAACGCCACAGATTTCAAGAAGCTGTTTCCCGGCATTACTTGCCATCTCATCACTTTAGGAGGACATTTCCTAGTTCCTTTATTCAGAGACTTGGCTTTAGCACTTGGGATATGCTCATCTTCGGAACAAAGCCTCTTGTATCTGTTAGACAAGAAGAAGTATGAAGGAAACTGTGCTTGCATGATCATCGGAGGCGCTGCTGAAGCTTTGGATGCTCATCCCAAAGAATATAAAGTGATTCTCAATAGGAGGAAAGGATTTATTCGTGTTGCGATGAAGTCTGGGTAAGTTTTTAGTGACTTTCCCCTTGCATCATTAACTTGTTTACTGACATTAAATTAGGCATGATCGCAGCCTTAAATTTAAGAGAGAAGATTATTAATAATATGATCTTTGTGGTATAGTACTAAGTAGGTACTGTAAATATCACACATTGATCCTTCGTGATGACTTGACGACGCTAATAAAAGATTCGATGACAATAACAAATAAACTAACGACGTTACAAAGCCTACAATGCGTAAGTGAAGTTTGCACGCAGATTAATATGGATACTTGGATAGAATTTTTCACATAAACTTTGAGGTTATGAGAAAAACGTGTAAATACAAAAGTTTCAGATCTTTTTATTACCGACAACTTTGCCTTTTCACTTTTTTTTCGATACCTAGGAGTTTAATTTTTTGCAGAAAATCGAGAAAAACCATTTTGTCACCCCCATCCCGTTCCCGACCTCAGATCGCCCGTAAATTATTTTTACTTTCATTTTTATAATATTCCCCACCTTTTCTAATGGGTTTCATCCTACTATTATTATTTTTCACCATTTATTATTTTTAAAGGCTTCTAATCTGGTCTATTTATGAGGCAGTGTGTTGAAAAACTGTTTTCTTTCCATGTAACAATACCTAATTCGTTATAACCTAATTCGTTAATTCATTTTTTCAGGGCTGCCCTAGTTCCAGTTTTCTCATTCGGTGAGACAGATATATTCCGGCCCCCGAACAATCCTGAGAACAGTCTGCTGCGTAGATTCCAGGAGAAGGTGCGGCAGCTCACCGGTATCTCCCCCATGTTCCCCATGGGACGAGGAGTGTTCCAGTATTCTTATGGCGTACTGCCAATAAGAGCGCCTGTCACTACAGTCGGTGAGTTCTGGCATTTGACAGTCTTGAAAAATTTGCAGTATATAATTTTTTAAGGCAGATGTAAGTAATTTTTGGGTAAAGCACATTTCCTTAGATCTTTAGATCATTATGGGGTTAGACACACTGCACTCCGTCTGTTAAATCATATTTAGAGGCAACTAAGGGTTCATGTAGGTGGTTCTAATTCATAGGGCTCCGAGATGAAAATAGGCGTAGCGCAGGGTTCGATATTAGCTCCATTTCTCTTTTTAGCGTGTGTTAATGATTTTCCATTTCTTTTTAAAACTGTATATACTATGTATTATACTTTTTGAAATGTATAATACAATAATATTGAATATATATCGACGTGCTGATGAATTTGACAAAGTACACAGGTCCATTCGTGAAGTTCATAATTAGTTCACAATCAACAATTTAGAACAAAACGTGTTAAACGTACACAGTCCTTAATGATTGTAACATAATTTTGAATGGGCTAAAGTAGGAATTTGTCAACGAGACAGTGTTACTTGGTATCACGTTAGACAATAGGCTTCAATGAGGTTCCCATATAAAGACACTTTCGGCGAGGTTAAGCTTAGCTATTTTTGCAGTTAGACAGATTAAATAGCTCGCAGACGTTAACACAGGAAAGCTTGTCTATTTTAGTTATTTTCACAGCACTGTGCTGTAGGGAATTTGCTGTGGGGTTGAGCTGTGGAAGTAGAATCAAATATATGAAAATATTATGTACGCGAGGAGAAGTTTTATTTTTATATATTTCATGTATATATTTTTTGATTAGGTATTAGAAAAAAGAAGCTATACTTACATTTAATACCAGAGGCAAAGATAGGCTGGCTGTGTCACGATTTCTTCATGGGGTTATATGTGAATTGTTACAATAAAATACCAAGCAATGTATGTTTTAATGTATCATATCTAATGAACGTATTTTTTTTTTCAAAGAGTAACAATGTAGTTCCTTTCTCGTTCTTCTGCATTCGAATCTACAATTTGGAACGAGCACCTAGCTTCATTGTCGAACAGACTGACAGACTGCTATTCCATTTTGACGTTTCAAAAGTACCTATTTATGGTTTAGGTGGTAAATGATTTTGACTTTGACCTTTAACCAGCAATAATTTCACCCCCCTACTCAACAATATTCTCTAAGTTCCCAATCCTCGAATCTCACTAAGCCAGAGACGCTCTCGAAACTCCTCTGGTGTATCCATGGGCGGTATCAATTGATTACTAACCTATGGTCCAGTCTAGTCATAACAATGAAATTGAAAACTTATAGTACCTAGGTACACCACCAATGTCTGGAGAAACAAGGCTCTAAGATCTCCAGTGTTCAAATGCATCTTTATTGCTTATTTCAGTTGGTGCTCCCATGGAAGTAAAAAGGAACTTGGAACCAACAAACGAAGAGATAGACGCCGTACATGCGGAGTTCACAGAGCGGCTCCAAACTCTCTTCGAAACAGAGAAGAAGAAATACCTGAAGTACCACGAGGAAGCTCGGCTAGTCATCACATAGGCAATTTATTTTATTTTTATTTAAAAATCTAAATACACCACGGACAGTGGCCAGCACGTCGACGCTTCTGTAAAATTACTTTCTTACATTTTCAACTTCAACGTTTTGTTGGTAAGTCGAAAATCTAATGGACAGAATGGTGTAGGACGGCCTGCACGATGATTACTGAACAATTCAAAATTTTGCTAAAAAAACAAACTAATGTTAATTTTTTCACAAAAGTATAAAGTAGCCAGTAACGACTTTTTGAACTGTTTGAAAATTGTGATAACAAGATACATATGTCCACTAATTCACTACTGTTTTGAAAGTATTATACTTTTTTCGTTTCATTTCTCTAATAGTTCCATAATATTGATATTGAAGTATAAAAGCGAAGTAAAATTTGCTCATGTCAGATCAGGAACATCAGCCTCAGCATTGAATTTATTTAAGTTAAATAATTATTTTATTTGTTACAATTTAATATGTCTAAAATAAATCAGTTACCTATATACTTTAGTAGAATTACTAATGCCTATGAATCATAGACTGATTGATATTATAATAATTATTATTAATTAGTTGTAAGTTTGTTACAAAAAGGGTAGATCAATAAAATATTTTTGTTCGTTCAAAATTTTTTATTTTAATCACAACCAGGGCAAGTTTGGGATAAAAGAAAACAATGTCATTTTTGCTATTTTTATTTAATTTTATATATTTTATTTACATTTTATATACAACGTTAATATTAACGAATGCGCATGTCTTAGCGCACGACTCATTTGAGCATAATTTTTTACTCGGCCATTTACGCACAAAGGTGACACGACTCGCAGATAAGATGCTTTGCAGAATACTCAACGTCATGAGAATCTTATCTCTATATTTCTTATAAGTCGTATACTTACTCTGATATCAACCTTCCCTTCCTCTCATCCACCTCCAGCTACATCTGTCCTTGTTCAATTTCCTCCATTGAAGTACGACCTACATAATTCTTCCTTCGTAATATTCCCATTGTCTCACATTTGTGCGTTTACAGCCAACATGCCTCCCTTTCGTTTCATGGTTGAAGGTATCATTATAATTATACACAATAATATACAATACGAGCGGGAATGATACAGAGTTTATCGAGCATGTTACTACGTTACTTGTAACATTGATGATGATGCAGTTGTCGATAAATTAAATAATAAAGATGTAAATTTTGGTTTGGGTGGTCATTAAGAACTGTTTGAAGGCAATCAAGAAGTTTCTTCAATTATTTATGTAGTAAAAGAGGATATAGAAAGATCGGATCAATTCGCAAGAAAAAATTACTCTCTTTGGAGTGGAGATAAACTACACAATCATCAACGTATTCATTAAAACATTACCAGAATCTAACATCGAAGAAACTAGTTTGACATGAAAATATAACGTATTTAATAAAGAACTAGAACATAAGTTAGTATCGTAGTACCATGCGGGCGTCAGTCCAGCTCCCGCCCATTGGACAGTCACTCGAAAAAAATGAGCTCTAAAACAAAATCACTGACAAAACAAAAAGCTACAAAAACATAAGAGACGGCACGAAACACACGACAAGAAACTATCGGAATATTTCCAAAAAATAAGCATATTGGACATACAGATGATGTCTTATACATAATATTATGTCTGGTTAAAGAAAAATTGATTTCTATCAATAAGTAACATTGTTCGAGAGCTCAAAAAACTCAAACACAAACTTAACAAAGGCTCAACGAAACCTTTAAGGCTATAGACATTAAGTAACAAGAAGACATAATCGGTGATAAAATCACTGTATCATAAACACGGATTGGATAATGGAAAACGGTACATCTCACACTATTTCCATTCAGATTTCTACCGAGAATACAGTCTTAACAAAACGATCGTACTTCAAAATGCCATTGAACAAGAAATGAAGGTCACAATCAAACCGATCCAAGATCAGAGTTCTAAAAACTTGTCTATATCAATCCAGTGTATTCGTCGTTCACTAAAAATCTCTATAAAAGTTTGATCCCAAGAACGTAAACGTATAAGTTGATCCTTAGTCCATGTCTGAAGAAAGTTTGCATCGGTGGATCGTCAAGGACTAACTGATCATGTGTCGAAGTCGGTGTAGTCTAAGCCATGAGGCCGATAAGTCACAATCTATGAGGAAGACTAAAAGTCAGTGGGCTCACGCCTGCTTCGGATGCGGCGCGGGCGCGGGAGGGGCAGGCTTGAAGCACTGCAGTAGGAAAGCGGTGTACATCACGAACGCTATCGACAGCGCTATCAGAGCATACATGAAGATATTTAGCTCAGGCTGCCGGAACCTGTTCTTTCGGAGCCACTCCAGTACTTCATCTTCAGACATGAGGTCTCCTGGAATTGATTATAATCAAACATTAAGATTTTACGTTTACAAAATAAAGGCATTTAAACTAAAGTTATCTAACCTCTGTATATACTCGGGAATCTCTTCCTGAAGTACACAATAGCTGGCAGTTTAGTAACTCCCCACTTGCGAGCGTATCGTGGATCTTGCATCTTTACGAACGTAATGTCCAGGTTATCTGTTTCACTGTCAATGTTCTCTAATTTGTCCAAAACAGCACGGCTTTCGGCTGATTTTTCATCTAAAAAAATCGAAACAGATAAGTAACAATATACAAAACTAATAACTATATACAAAATTTGTACGCCACTATTGGCGAAACATGGACGCACAAAAAACTATCTATTTAATATCTTGCATGTCTGACTACCCAGTTTATGTAAACGCATGTTTGACAAAAAAATGATCTTTCTTTCTTTCTTTCTTTCTTTCTTTATTTCAACACATTTCTTTTTTTTAAAGTATCAATTTCCGAAATTACTAATGCTACTTACAGAAATATACCGCCAGGAATTCGTTCTCCTCCAACAGTTTGTCCAACATCTTACGATTGACTTCCTCAATTTCGTTTTTGATTTCAAAGACGTCCTGAGATGTCAACCATTGTAAGATTCTGTCCACTTGGTGGAGATCTCCATCGTACAACATCGGAATCTGCTTACGGAAGTACACTAAAGAAGGTATGTTCACAATGTTGTATGTTGCAGCTGCTTCTTGGCTAGCGATTTTGACGAAATCAATACCAAATTGGTCAACTTCTCCGTCAATTTGTTCAAGAGATTCTAGAATTTCTTCACATTCTGGACAGTCATCGTCATCATCTGAAATTTAACATTATTAAAAAATGACTTTCCTCTTTAACATAACATCATATTGTCCTCTTATTAGTCATACTTACAGAAGAAGACCACCAAAAGATGTGATTCGTAAAGTAACCTCTCCAACATTCTCTCGTTGACAGACTCAATTTCATCTGCTAATTCTCTGTTATCATCGTCAATAAGCCATTCTAGAATAGACTCTTCATTTTGCAAATCGCCTTCGAATAGAAGAGGGTTACCATTCCTGGAAAGAACATAATATTCATCAAACTTTAAGTTTAGCTCATTGTTTGATTAATAATAACGTCTAATGGCCAAAAATATTACCTAAAGTAAACCATAGCAGGGAAAGTTTTAATTGAATATCTCTTTGCGAGTTGCGGATCTTGAATCTTTACCATATGTATACCGTAGACATCACATTCGTCGTCTATACTCTCAAGTCCTTCAAGAATATGGTCGCATATATGGCAGTTTAATTTGTCTACAAAAGAAACGATATTTTATAGCAATATTGTAAAACATTGCCATTCTGATAAATAATTCCATGGCCTTATATATACGTACAGAAATAGACAGCCAAATACTGAGTTTCCTCAACCATGTTTTCTAACATAACTCGTGTTATAAGTTCGATACGATCCTCTGTCTTCTGCGTAATCAACCACTGTAGCACTTCCTCTTCTTCAGCCAGAGATCCCTCGTACACATTTGGTACATTATTTTCAAAGTAAACTAGGACTGGAAAATCTGTCACTCCATAAGATTCGGCTATTGAATAGTCTTGAGTCTTAACGAATTTGATTTCATGTCTGTCGCAATCATCATCGATATTCTCTAGCTCTTCCAGTATTCCAGCGCATTGCTCGCAGTCCAAACTATCTGTGAAATCGCGATCTATTGCCAATTAAAGTGTTATACTATTTTGTGAGCAAAATCCATTGGATGGACAAACTGTTTCAGTAATATTGTGACTACCATGGATATTTTAATTTGTGCTGCTAAAAAAACCAAAACAACAATACCATTCGTTATGCATTTCGTGGATCACAATTTAGTTGCGAACGTGGACGGACACTGCAGACCAGACTCGACACAAGTGGGTGTGGAAACGGGGACTAATCTATAGATTCATAACAAATACCTTAAGTACCTATACTAGGAGTGCTTTCATGCTACATGCAATAAAAGTAATGGCTACATTGAAATGGATTATTAATAAAATTGCGATTGCAAGGGATCATATCACTGGTACTCGGGGCACGGCTCTAAAGACATAGAAGTACCCTCTGGATCCAGTCCCTCATCCTCCTCGTGTTCTACAACTTTCTTTTTCGATGACTTTTTCAACAATTTCGAAGAGCACATTTCACACAACGTTTTGTTCCCTAATAAAAAGCAAGATAAATTATTAACTGATACACTTATATTTATATGGTTAATGGCACATTTATACAATAAAGACCTCCTTGTCTTCACCGATGTACATTTTCATATATTTTTACTTGTTTTAATAATGTATTAGATTGTAAATATCAGCGTATAAAATTAGCAGTGTGAGTGTAATGTTTGTGCAGTATAGAAGTGTGTAATTCCCTCACAGGCATGCAACTTACAAAAGTAAACTGCCAGTGATCCGGACTCTTCAATCAAGTCAAGAAGATCTTGACCTTCAATGGCTTCTATAACATCACCTGCTGGATTCTTCTGAGTTAATAACCAACTTAATAGTTGTTGTTCGTCATATAAATCTCCTACAAAAAATAATCATCAAATAAATATTCGGCCCCAAATTACATGATTATTCAAAGTGTTAGCATGTTTATAGAAAAAACTTTACCAGCATAAATAACAGGATCTTTTGAACCCATCTTGAAGAATAAGACAGCAGGCAGAGCGAACACTCCAAACTCCTTGGCCATCTGCCTATCGTCAATCTTCACGAAATTGATACCAGAATCATCAGCATCGTCATCAATGTGCTCAATTTCTGCTAGCACTTTAGGACACTGTTTGCAGTCATTACTGTCTAAAACATGTGTTATGTGCAATACAATTGGATTTGTAAGTATCAGTTGTTAAACGGCGCAAAAAAAATCTTAACTTAAACGAAATTAACAAACAAATATCAAATTAAAAGAAAACTCACAAAAGAATACCGCAACGTAATCCGAAGTCTGTCTGATTTTCTGGAACATTTTCCTGTTAACTTTTTCGATATGATCAGTCAATTCCATGTTCTCAGGATTTGTCAACCAGTCAAGTATTTCTTCTTCGTCATCGATGTCGCCGTCATAGTTGATCGCTTTTGTTTTCCTGAAGTAAGTTATACCCGGCGGGTTACGGAACCCATACTTCTTCGCCATTAACCGATCGCTACATTTTACAATTTTGATTCCGTACTCAGCTGCTTCATCATCTATTAGTTCCACGTGCCTTAGTACTTTTGGACTATCTGGATCTTCTTCTTTATCTGAAATACATTTCTCTTTCAGAAATTGTTCATATTGGATATCTATTTTAGTTTTGTTAGTAGTATACTTACAAAATACGACAGCCAGGAATTCTTTAGTTTCTATATATTTAAAAAGTTGTTCTCTGTCAATTTCCTCTATACTTTCATCTTCCTTCTGTCTGATCATCCAATCCAACACCTCAGATTCGTCCAATAGATCCCCTAAAATAGTTTCACATTTTACTTCACGCTGAAAACCCTATGAACTAATAAAATACTATAAAGAAACCACATCCATTTCATAGTTTGGGAAACTCACCAGTAAATTCCAATAATTGGCATGCGCGGATACAACTACGGCAATACCATGCTGACATCATTCGTGTGTGAAATGAGTAATGACAGTTTTGATTTATTAGAAAAATGTATTTATTTAACAAAAAAGTTGTTTCAGCGCCGACTCAACAATTCAACGTAACAAATAAATAAATTAAACATTCATGCGAATTTTCGGCCAAACAATACAACTTACATATCGACTAAATAGTCACACAACGCCAGCACTGTTCGACCGGAAAGCTTTAGACGACTCTAACCGCAACATTAGTCTTCAATGGAAACTAAGTTTACAATACATAGTCGTTACCTAACGGCTGGCTGGTCATAGACATCGTCCAACGCAGTCCGATTCCTATTGCTTACTGAACATGATATAATGAATTGATTTATTGCACTGATATCCGGCACTGCGCTTATGAAAATTATTAATCAAATAATTTATTAGTTAAATGTTGATATAAAATATTAAGAACTATAAGTTTTTATGTCTATAAATTATAAAAGTAATATTTTATCAAATGTAGTATTACAAAATAATGAGATTCCATGAAGACTAGAAAACTATATGAACATGAAATCCTTACAACTTATTATAAGTCTTTCAAGATGTCACGGCAAAATACAATGAGAAATGCCTTGCGTCGTTATTGTTACGTGTCGAATTACATTTTAATTTCTAAATATTGGAATCAATTTACAATGAACATAACGATTTGTACACCTGCTTACAATATCTCTAGACATCCCAATATTTAGTGGGCACGTGATCTTGAATTTACAGTAAAGCACATTTTGTAGGATGTATCAGTGTGGGCTGTATTCGCACCGGCGCCGCGACGGCTCGGAGGCAGGCAAACGAGTTATAGTACTAGTACAGTATCACGAGAGACACGACAGACGTGCGAGTACAGTCCTTGTGCAACGGTTACAACAATCAACCCTGTTACGTGCTTGCAGGGATCAAGGGACACGAGGTTATGCAAAGCTAGCAATGTTAATAGCCGGTACGGACAGATGCAACGTTAGCCATGGAGGTCGAGTGCCAGAGGAGGCTGGGGCCAGCGACGATAACATTGTGTCCACTTGATGCCTATCTTGCTCCCATATCCGAGGATATCAGAGCAAGTACTACTAACATTAATTTAAATTTACCACCACCAAATATTATTATCAGACTCGATTAAACCTTTTTTCCCTTTGGACGGTTTGTCTGGTTTGGCGAGGGCCTTGTTTTTGCCCTTGACCTCCTTCTCGGGTTTCTGTGGCTGCTTCTCGATTTTCTTCGGCACCTTGGTCGGCGTGGCCTTCGCTATTTTGGTTGGACTCTGAACTTTAGTGGGACAGCACTGGTAGGGTTCGTAAGTCATTTTTGGGACGGCCGGTTTCGCCCCCAATCCAATGTAGAAACAGCGATCGCCTGCAGTCAGTAAAAATCTCGTTTACAACCCGTATATACGGTAATTACAATAAACGGTTAACTGCGTTAATACTGTGCATGTTTGTAAACTTTGCGCCAACAGTTAAGCGCTATTTCTAATGATAATGTTAGTAAGTATAAGATTTGAAAACATTTATTGGTCATTAAGCGGTCGCGAATGACTGCAGGCGATAGCTAGAGAGAGGGTCCCATGCGGGCCGTCGACCATGCAGATGTGATGCGGGGGTCCCGGGGCCAACGCTACTCAATTACCTGTAAACATTCGTCTTATTCTACCGAATATACTATCTTCATCGCTGTCATCATCCTCATCATCATCATCATCATCATCGTCGTCGTCGTCGTCGTCATCATCATCAACTTCCTTGTGACGACTGAATTTACCTATTTTAGGCCGGTGCCTCGATTTTTTTTTATCTTCCTCTTCTTCATCCTCATCGTCATCCTCATCATCATCGTCATCATCATCATCGTCGGTGTCGTCATCATCATCGTCATTCTCATCATCATCATCGTCATCATCATCGTCGTCATCGTCCTCGTCATCTTCATCATCGTCGTCATCATCGTCGTTGTCATCGTCGTTGTCATCGTCCTCGTCATTGTCACTGTCATCATCGTCATTGTCATCATCGTCATCGTCATCGTTGTCTTTAGTTTTCACTGTTTTTTTGCCGGGATTGTTGCCAGGATAACGAATATTAAGTTTACCGACTTTCTTCCAAGTGGCGTCGTCACTTGGATTTTTAAATTTAAGAATGTTTTTAATTGCCGCTAATTTTGCATTGTCTTCTTCATCGTCATCTTCGTCGTCGTCGTCATCGTCGTCATCGTCATCATCGTCATCATCGTCATCATCATTTTTGTCATCTTCGTCTTCATCATCGTCATCATCATCATCATCATTATCATCGTCGTCGTCGTCGTCGTCGTCATCTTCTACGTCACCATCTTCGTCATCTTCTTCATCCTCCTTTGAACTCACTTTGGTTTTTTGCCGACCTTTCTTATCGACAGTTCCTGGAAATCTTATTTTCAGCGAGCCCATAGTTTTCCATTGAGCAGATTTTTCATTTTTCGGGGTATTCCTCTTTGATGCATCAACATCACCTTTTCTGAACCCCGATGATTTTTTATCACCATCTGCATTGGCCTTCGATTTAATATTAGCTTTATTATGTCGGTGGCTATCTTCACCTGCAGGCATTAGTAACTGTCATGCAAAATGACATAGCTCAAACATCCAGCATTTTAGGCGTAAAGTAGTAACACTTGTTTCATAGAGATATATCAAGAATGATGTCATGCACGTAATATTTATTGAATTCATAATACTTTAACATTAAACAAAGTCCCTCGACCTTAAACAGATATAACATTAGAAACGTTTATTATATGGATGTGGATTCTTACTTTTTTGATCTACAAGCCACTGCAGAACCTTATTTTCGTTCTTTAAATCACCTATAAACAGGAAAAATTGTTAGAATTCATACATTGAACCTGTATGTATTTACATTGCTACACAATTTTTTCATTTGTCAGTATCAGTTATCATTATCAACGCTAGCATATTCGCCAGAGCTGATGGAAATAATATCAAGGAGATATTTACACAGAGTATTAGCTTCATTATTATACAGGATGGCTCACTTACCGTCGTACATGATAGGAACACCTGTTTCATAGTAGACGAGTGCTGGGAAGCTAAATATACCAATATCTGATGCGAGCTTTGAGTCCTTGGATTTGACAAACTGAATGCCGTGCTTGTCTGTGTCATCATCTATCGTCTCCAACTCCTCAAGGATATCATCACAAGTGTCACAGTCTTCGCTGTCTGTAGGGAAAATAATTAAGTCAAAACATATTCCAAGAGTTTTGGAGGGCAGAAAATTATTAGGTAGTCCGTAGTATACACGAATAAAAGACTAAACTCTTAAATTGGACAACAGCCAAATCAGAAAATAAATTAAAATGATTTATTGTTTTTAAAATTTTAATCACTAAATGCAGACTTTAGATTTCTTTCTACCATTAAATATTTTTTGATCTGTAGATATACTTACAGAAAAATACGGCTAGATGTTCAACGTCATCGATGAGGTCTTTCAAGGTTTTCCTGTCTACGTTCTCGATGACGTCAGGCTGCGAGTCGTGGAGTTCCAACACCCATTTAAGTATAGCTTCTTCATGCATCAGATCACCTTCATAGATAGTCCTGAACTTGTGCCTGTAGAAGGCAAGAGCTGGTAAATCAGAAAGGTCGTACTCCTTGTCAATGCCGTCGTCGGAAGTCTTGACGAAATCGATGTCTTTCTCTTCACATTCATCGTCAATGTTTTCGAGCTCGCTCAGGATCTTTTGAGACTTCTTGTCGCCTTCTTTGTCTGTGAAAATACGAATTGCCATAGGTCAATCACTAGTAAGTACCAGGTGTGTACCTGTACCATCGTTCACATTTTGTTGATAAGTTTAATATTTAATTATTGTTGTTAACTTGTTCTTTAACTTTATTGAAATAGTGTCATCACCGTTAATGATAGATTTAACAAAAAGTCGTACTATCAAAACCTTCAAAAATAATTAATATAAAGATATCTAAAAAAAAAAAATTATACTTACAGAAGAATACAACAACGTGGTCGTTCTCTTCCAAGATCTTTTCCAGCATCCTAGAGTTAACCTCTTCGATCTTGCCAGGGATCTCCAGGGTGTCTTCGTCGGTCAACCACGCCAGTACCTCATCTTCATCCTCGATGTCACCTATAATTAAAAAAACGCCATGTTTTTTATATATGATAATAACTTATTTTCTGTAGGAACCGAGGTAAACAAATAGAAGTCTATAAATTTTACTTGCGGTATGATTTCCATTATTTTCTAAATTTGCAGATCACGTGACCGTAATAGATGAAACCAAATAAATGTAACGTTACAACACGAGCAACGATTTACAAGAGAGACACGAATGGATGAACATATTCACAACTAATCGTAGTTCAAAAGTAAAAAAGTGAGTTATGATTTTCTGTAATCAAGTAAACGACTTGAAGTGCACAAAAATATTAATATCAAACAGAACATGAGAATGTACTGACCCTTGTAAATGAGAGGATCCTTGTTCCTGAAGAACACGAGTGTGGGGAAGGTCTTGATGCCGTATTTCTTAGCGAGGCTGATGTCTTCAGTGGTGACGAAGATGATACCGGTCTCGTCCAGTTCGTCATCGATGTTTTCTAGCTCATCTAGGATGTTGTCACATTCTTCGCCTTCCTCGCAGTTACCACCTGGAAGATGAATATTATGATTGAGACATTTTTACTAAGGCTTAAGATTTTATTGAATATTGTTGGCATTTAATTAAATTTGAAAAAAATATAAAAAGGTTTAACGACTACGAGATTATATATACTTGCGCCAGTAAGACATAAGACTCTCTTTATACTTTAGTACAAAATTTTGTAATAGCATAAACTAAACTCAAGTATTCTTTAAAGTCAGCCGGGGCTGCGGGGTAAGCGCAATGAGACACCGCGACCTCGGCCCAGAGCAGGAGAAGGAACAGAGGGGTTTTTAATCAGTAAGAGTCTGACACTCCCTCCCGCCCCATGATTGTGACATGATTTTCCCCTCACAAAAAAAGTATTCTTTAAAGTCACCAAATTTTAATTCACAAAATACTTACTGAAGTACACCACTACATATTCGTGCTCTTCAATTAGATCAGTCAAGATCTCATCCGTAACTTCTTCAATGGTAGCACTGTTCTTTTGTTCAATCAGCCACTCTAGTACTTCGTCCTCATTCATTAGGTCTCCTTCATATATAGCTGGGATGTTCTCTTCAAAGTACACGAGTGTCGGTAGATGGTCGATACCGTACTGCTTGGCCTCATTTTCATTGTCCATTCTTACAATGACTATGCCTTCCTTTTCTAGTTCATCATCGATGTTCTCCAGCTCGTTAAGAATTCGGATGTCTTGCTTGTCTTCTCTGTCGTCTGAAATTTTATTTAGATGATTAAATTTGTGAATTTTATGTTTCGAAGGAGTTACGAAGTCTTTTAGTTAAGAGAGTTTTTGTTGGTTTTTTTAGATATTTCTTAATATTATGCCTCCTTCGTGTTAGACTCATCTCTTTCTTACAAAGGTATCCAAAAATAACTGGTTGGAACCGATCCGAACCGTGAGTAAAACTGTTCTACATGATATAATTTCAAAAGTGTTATGATCTTGAGGGTAAACATTGTAGAACATAATAAAGTCATCGCAATGTTATTTTGTTTTTCAATGCTTGTTTTAGTGGCGCACCTACTCTTCGATGTTTTATACTTAGATTTACGTCAGAAACTCAGAATCATTATGTGTAAGAAACAAACATTAAATTTTGAAATTATAATTGTTTAACTCTTAAACAATTTTAATGTTGTACTTACAGAAGATCACGGCCAAGTAAGGTGTGCTGACAATAAGTTTGTCCATCATTTCATCAGTGACCTCGGGGATTTCGCTGTGACGTTTCTGGTGGAGCAACCATCCCAACAACTCTTCTTCCTTCATCAGATCGCCTTCGTACACGTGAGGGATGCCTCTTTCAAAGAACACCATCGTGGGAATAGTCTCAATACCGTACTCCTTAGCTTCCTTATCATCATCGATCTTGACGAAGGCGATGTCATTTTGGTCACACTCATCATCGATGTTCTCCAGCTCACTCAAAATCTTCTGACTCTTCTTTTGGTCCTTGTCGTCTGTAATAAATTTGAAGGACTGTATTTCATTTATATGTCAGTTCTTAATAGTGTACTCTACTGAATTATGAAATTCCCTATTTTTAGATTCGTAGCAATAAAAATCTGGCATTGTTTCAAGATACCCAACCAATGTTAAGGCCGAGTGAGTAGAAGTTAAAAAAGTACTTACAGAACAGGACGGCAACGTATTGCATTTTGTCGATGATCAGGTCCAGCATTTCATCGGTGATATCTTCAATTTCATCACTCTCAGTCTGATGTCTGAGCCAGTCCAGAACCTTTTCTTCTTCTTCTAAGTTGCCTTCATAGTAAGTTGGTATACCCTTTTCGAAGTAAAGCAGCGTAGGGACTTTTTCAATGCCATATTCTTGAGCTTCTTCATCATTATCAATTTTCACAAATGCAATTCCAAGTTGATCACATTCATCATCAATATTCTCCAGTTCGTTAAGTACTTTCTGTGATTTACGGTCGTTATTATCATCTGTAACAGAGCATTAAAACATGGCCTTCAGCGACGGAGCTCAAGGGAATTTTATGGTTCGAGTTATTGCCAAGAAATATACTCACAAAATAACACGGCGACAGTCTTGCCATCTTTGATAAGTCGGTCCAACATTTCATCGGTGACATCTTCAATCTCGTCCTTCTCAAGCTGTTCGACGAGCCACTCCAAGATTTCCTCTTCATTCTCAAGGTCACCTGATATAAATAATCAAACGTCAATTTAAATTAAAATTATATTTATATAACCTTCAAACTATAACAGTACAGTAACCTTCATTTATCTTACCGTCGTAAACATTGGGGATTTGCTTTTCGAAGTAAACGATGGATGGTAGGTCATCGATACCGAAGTCTTTGGCTGCTTTGACATCATCGATCTTGACAAACTGAATGCCGTGGCGGTCACAGTCATCATCAATCTTCTCAAGCTCAGCCAGAACTGTCATCGACTCATCGTCACCGTGGTCGTCTGAAAGTTAGGAAAAAGAAATGTTACATTACAATGCTGATGACTTACTTATACAAGAATCTAGAGACTGGGTATTTGATACACCAACGTTGATAATACTTACAGAACAGTACGACAAGGTTATCGACATTCCCGATTAAGGTATTCAAAGTCTTTGCTGTAACATCTTCAATGATATCCTCTTCATCACCGGTAGATTTATTAGTGATCAACCACTCCAGTACATCCTCTTCTCTGCTCAGCTCACCTGAAATACAAACAAAGGTTGGAGTAAAAATATCTTCCAAAATATTGAAAGAAATAATTTTACTACATTTGAAAATAAATAAAACGAATTTATCGTAAACAAAAGTATTTCTGATCTCTAATAATGGACGTTTCGTTACGCAAATGTTTAGGATCAGACTTGCTGATATTATTCCAAGTCTTAAAGCTATTATCCGTTATTTACTAGTGCCAACTTCAGACAGTTACTATCCAGCATATGCCTGACTCTTACAATTTCTGATTTGAAATATATACAAAAGAAAGTGCTGAGTGTAGACATGAACCAGTAGCCATCGTCATTGCCACCATCCGTTTCCGCGGTACTAACGTCAGCAAACGTAAAATATGAGTCACAAACCTTCATAGATAATAGGTATCTGATGCCTGTAGTACACCAGTCTTGGCAGGTCTCCAAGATTGTACTCCTCGGCTAGTTCCTCGTCGTGGATCTTCACGAAACCGATCCCGAGTTGGTCAGCCTCGTCGTCAATGTTCTCCAGCTCTTGCAGAGCTTTAGCGCATTTCTTACATTCTGGCTTGTCTGTAACACATTGCATTCTGTTTCATTTTATGACTCGCCCAGATTTCTTTGCGCCTAATTCATGCCTCGGACGTGAAGCGGTGCAGTTAAGTGCCTAAACGCCTATAAGTTTGTTGTGTGTTAAAATTTAGTGTGCAATATAAAGCTGTGTCGTGCAAAAACCTATTAGCTTTATGTGTGATGGTGTTGCTTTGCCAAAAATATTGTTTCTATTACTATTTTATTATTAAAGCGGGAGTATCTTGAATAGGATCATCTAAAGGGATTGTGCGAAATAATAAAATAGGTGTTCTCTTAATTTAATTAGAATTCGGAATCTAAGTAATAATGTCAATATATGGTACCGCAATATTTGCAAGAGTGTTTATTTGACCTATAATTCAAAAAGTTGATGTGTTATTTGATGGACATGTCGTGAAGACGACACATTTCATAATATTTAGGTCAAGGTCATCGTATGATCACGTTTAAAAGACAAATTTTTAGCATACTTCAGAGGATATATAGTGTTTGAATATGCACTCCGATTTGTTTTTAATACTTTATCTGTCGTCGTTAAGGGGACGAATGTTCGTCTGACGCTTTAGTCGTGACATGTCGGTCCGTCAATCCCGAGCTTGCTGGCGAGACGCAAATAGCACAGCCGAAATAGCTCGCCTCACGGCCCGATAATGCAAACGCGTTTTTGATTCTAGCTTTCCCTTAGACTAGATACACAAATAGGTAGATAATTACAAGGAGAATAATTTCAATAACTGAACTATTTTTCTGCAAAATACAGCTACAGCTAGTAAGTAGGTAGCCAATCAAATCAACAGATAATGTAATAATTTTGTAAAAAGTGAGTGTTGTGTGAACGTAACTAAAGATAATATATAATACTCGTTACATTATCACAGTTGCATATAATTTGCTATATGAGTCACATCGTCTCAATACGTTGTATCAGAGCCAATATTTTAATTAGCCGTATTCATCATTGATTGTTGGTTTTAACAGCAGGGCACGTGTAGAACTACACCAATTTGACAATACTTATTTTAAAAACACCGGTACCCTGGATTTTCCGTAGTTAGCGTGAAGCACATAGATATGACATAAATACACAAATACACATCTAATATAAAAGCGAGAAGAGTAACAGCCAAGCTGACATTAGAAGGACGCATGCCGCCAGCTGAGAATCTTACTTACTGTTTGACGGGCCGCAACTTTTGTGATCAGGACCTACGTCAAAAACACAATCAAAACACACTGCACAATATACAGACGCATGTCTAACCTCCACTAACAATTATGATGTACACGACTGAGAAGAAGATTATCTAGTCGACAGAGCTACGTCAAGAATTTACAGTACCAATTTAATTACGATTGTTAGTTGAAAAAATGGCTCGAATTTAACACAATTGCTAAAATACGATGACAAAACACATACAGTAGCACTCCAATACTTACAGAAGAGAACTGCTACATAGTTAGTATCCTCGATGATTTTCGATAGGATTTTCTGGTTGACTTCTTCTATCCGGTCAGGAAGGTCCATTGCTTCTAAACTCGTCAAGAAATCCAGGACGCTCTCTTCGTCCATGAGATCTCCTAGAATTGTTAAGATTTGACGGAATCGATCATTAAATTACAACTTATAACGTAGAGTATAGTTGATAAACATAGGTTTAAAAAAACAATTTATAGCAGTAATGTAAAAATGGTGATCTAAGGATTGTCCTCGTTATATATGCCAAAATATGTATTCACTGCAGAAAATACACTCCAAAACCTTACACAAATCTTAACCAATTTACTTTACGGAGAAAATTCTGAAAAGCATCATATTGAGGATGTTGCAGAACAAATTAAAGAAGTCAGAAAGATTAAATCACTACTTGTATAAATAGCTGAAATCCGGTGTAAGAGCCCAGTTATAAAATTAACAATCAAGGGAAGCCGCCTTGAATCAACGTTTATAATTAGTTGGACAATAAAACATCAGATCATGTTCACTAAGAGTTTAGGAGCTTGCTTTATTTTGCCATCGGATCTTGATCCAAATATTTCTTTAGACAATGTATCTACATACATTTTCAAAGCTAGATGTTGAGAAAATTTGAAATGAAAGTTTTCTATTGAGTTACATTTGAAATTCGGTCGTGGTTTGTTAATAGACAGCTGAATAATCATAATTCATATTGCAAACATCAAATATTTCAAGTCATGAATTAGTGCTGAATTGTGTATCATAAAATCAATTCGCTAATTTTCTAACGCCAATGTTAGGTTATTTTCATCTATTTGGACCACCCAATTCAATTCTTTTTTATTTGATAAATGGTAAATTAAACGAGTTTTACAACTGGCGGCTGTTTATCTATTTATAAATCTGTTTTGTGTGTAAAATGATATGATTCAAGGGAGCCCTTTATATTTATAAAAAACATTTCAATGGCAAACATGAATGTAAGTTTTTTTCTATTTCTTAGTTTGTATCTTGAGGTAACATTGGATGCCTTTTTTCAAAAGGTTAAAGAATAATGATGATTAAAGCATAAGAGAGGTAAGGTGCATTTTCTTTACCCAATTTTTAAAAAATGAGTCATTAGACAATTTACATTTTGGATTGGGCTTATCGAATAGGTAAGTGTTATAAGTCTGACCTTCGTAAATGATCGGTTCCTTCTCACGGAAGTACGTGAGGGCGGGGAATTTCGTGATGCCATACTGCTTCGCGAGCCGCTTGTCGTTGATCTTAACGAAGTCCACTCCGAACGTGTCCGTGTCGTCATCTATCTTTTCAAGTTCTTCCAGTACCTTGTCACACGTTACACAGCTTCTTGCATCTGTTTATGAAAATATTTCATGAAGGACACAGCGTTGTCGTTTAACTTTGATGTTTTTTAATATTCGATACGATATAGCTTTAATTTCGTGTCGCTTTGACTAATAAAAAGTGATATGCCTTATATAATAACTGCTCGACTCCTCCCAACTGACGCAAAGCTTTCAAGAATAATGAAATTTCCTAGTGAATGTTATTTGTACCTATAATCATTAATTTATCTTTCACTAAGCACGCACACGTCTTTCTTGCTTCGACATGTCACTTCCATGCAGTAAATCCTTCGTTTTAAATTTCTAAATTGGTCAGGGATCATAATATTATTCCAAACCTATACGTTAAAATGATTTAAAATATGGGAAAATCCATAAACTCTTGTTGCCATACAGTTTTATGTCTTAATCTTGGAAAAATAAAATCTTCAATAACATGTGGTCTGAAGTCGATAAAATTATTACATTAGCTGAATATTTTACGGAAATAAATTTGTATTCTTAGACTGAAAATAGTTATGTGATGACTGATGTGTCTAATCGTATTTTAAATTTGGCTCTCGAAATCAGTAGCGATGCTGGGTGATTTAAGGTAGGTACTTATAGATGACTGACATGCCAAGAATTACACGAATGGATATGAAACATTTGCTACGTATATTTATGATTGGTACGAAAACATTATTGAAGCTCACGTAAATGATGATTTCAGATCCAAAACCGATTTCATCTAAATGGTTTACAACACACGGTGAAGTGTCGAAAGCATAACAATTGAATCGTTTATCTTACTATAGTTATTGCTTCCACAGTATAGTCAAAGGCGTACAAATGAACATAAATATGAATACAACTTTATCTCTACAATTTTCGTCATCACTGTACCTACATAAGTATTTCAAAAATCTGTTCTGTATTTACTATGATACGTTTTCCCATGGAAAAGATACGTGATCTCCCGCAGTGAAAAGTATCCTATGTCACTCTCCAGCAGGCCCCAACTATATTGAACAAAAGTTCACGTCAAGCTGTCGCTCTGTTTCGGAGTGAAAGAAGGGCAAATAAACAGGTATGGCTCGGTGCTGTAAACTGTAAGTAAGTACGACAAATGAAACATATTTTTCTTTCGTGAAAATCACCATACTATGATTTTCTCTTGTGTCGTGGGAGCGTTTACACACATACTATTACAGATAAACATGACCCTTAGGCCTGTAACAACTATTTGGAGAGCAAACAAAGAATCTCATGTCCATCGGTCTTTTTGTTAAGCATTCTTCTAATTGTGTCCTATCTCTAGTAGGTAGTTTTGCTTTCAGAAATTATTTTAATGACGACGTCACTGTTATTTCTATTTGTAAACCATTTGGACTACATTCAAGTTCTGTGTTTGACAGGTATCTATTGTCATTTACTGTTACCGTCTATATTCGTTGTTGATTTTTACTTACGTGACGCAATAAACATCGGCACCTTACTGCAAGAAAATAAACTAGTAAACTCGGCTAGCGAACGTAGAAATCGCGAGAGCTTGGAATTTGTATTAACGGTGTACTAGTGTACGCCAATGTTGCTTTTAATTTTATAGCTTTTGCCAGTTTTATAATGCTTCAAGTATGAGAACGTTTTGTTAGTACTACAAGGTTCATACAAGCAAATTAATTATCGACTACTGAAACTATTAAATCAAACGCACGATGATGGAAGTTTGGAACCTCATGTAAGCGTGTTGTTCTTATATAAATTCTTGTTTTATTTTTATCTTAATTGGTGCAACTGAGCATCTGGCTACTTTAATAGTACACTGCCAAGATTTGTTTTTGAAAAGGTAACCGTTTAAGTCGTAAGAAGCTGAAAGTTTTATTTCAAACATACGTGTATTGCAATTTGAGCTTACATTTCTTAATTTAAAAGTAAAGAACAAAATACAGAAAATATTTTTTAGCACTCACCCCATATCTACAATCCAATTATGCTCACTACAAAACTTTGAGTCACACCATACTTATATTCATCTTTCACAAATTACGATTGCTTTCGTTGTGTTAAGTAATTTAATTTTAGATGCCGAGGTCATTGCCATGTATTCGGCACTATTCCAATCTCGGACCAAACTCAGAAACATATTTTAGATAGTAGATAAAACAATTATCCTATTTGTAGCTAAGCCAATGAATAACTATTGGAAACGACAACAAGAAACAACGACGGTTTATAAAAGTCATGAACGAAAATTTTCTGGCCGAACCATTGTTCCGTGTAAAGTATTATAATATGGACATATTAGTACCATGTCAGTAGTCAGTCAGTAATCACTTTGTGACAAACATAATGAAGCCGACACTTTTATTATCTACTGTCTGGCCGTAGTATAGCGAATCAATGAAATATGGTTGCGGAAAATTACAAAATGGGATGTGGTGTAAACGACGTTGAAGACTTGGCTAGGAACTGAAGTATTTCTAAATATGTTGACATTGAGACAAACGGTGAATGGACTCAATATGCAAAACTGGGAACAACTCGAATCCAATAGATTACTCTCTTTAATATAAGATGTTATAGCTTTTCAGTAATTAATAAACACAGCTGTTCTTCCGCGACCTTACCTAACATTATAAACAATAAAATATTGACTCATTAGAAGTCTACACTATATAGAGTACCTAATAATAACTGGGCGAAGCTCTGTTGCAACGTTACATGAGTATGCAGGACATGCAAAACAATTACGACGCCTGCGCACGTGTTGAAGAACATACTGTATATTTAGTTTACTAAAACGAAATCGTAAAATAAGAAATTAATGTTATCATTCTGTGGAACTATTCAGTAGCTTTGAAAATTCCTTGAACATAAATTTAGAGTTGTGAATTATTTGACAAACTCTTTTTCACATTTGTGTATTATTGTATCAAAAGCTTGCATCAAATCCACACCTATGCCCCGTCTTTTTAATTGTAGACCAAAAGCAGGTGCCTACTCAAGTGGCATCTGGTAGCTATTTGTTTTTCCTATCTACTGTTTATAAAACGATTCTGTTGCTATACGGATTTCATTCATGAATTCAAAATTAAAATCATGATGTGATCAAAGAAAACATCCTATCCAGCGCATTTAGGTCACAAGAAAAAAATCAAATCACGGGGATTTACAAAACTAAGAAAAACCTCCAAGCCGTCTCAAATTCGTTTACAATTTCTAAAAATTAACATGCTGTTTAACAGCCAATCCAATTTTCATCGATGGATTCAGTTATATTAGGTGATTATATTTTAATGTGATCTGATCAATTCCACTACATTCCACGTAACACACGGGATATTTTGAGATTCGAATTATTTAGTTCATCTCTAGCTTTTTGTTTATTTCATTGAACGTCTTCCACTGTTTAAACATAGTTTGTCATTGTGTGAAATATTTATTTTGAATTCGTTTGTGCTGCAAACAGATGAATTTCAATTTGTCTCACTTTGAACTTTTTAACGTAGCTTCCTACACGGACCTATTCATAACAAACATAGTCAACGGAAATAAGGAAAATAAAGCGTTTATGTAAAATGCGATCAGGTTTTTAAGGCTTGGGTTTCTTAAAACTTATTTATCAATCAAAAGGGTAAATAAATGAGTGTATTCGTTAAATAGATTTTATTTGTTCTTTTAATTGATTTCCATTAAAAAATCAGGAGAGAGAACTTGATAACTTTATGGTTTCTATAAAATTTGTAGCTAACCGCCATAGATTGGGTAAACTAATCACAGACATTGTAGATGAACTTTAATAACAAGTACCACTAAGTATTTGTTCACATGAGGAATATGCAAAAAATGTTAAAGATACTCTACGTATAAATCATGTGAATGTAAATACAACAAGAAAACTGGTACTGTTTATTTACAAATCTGCCCAACTAATTCAAGGAAATAGGATATTCATCAAATTGAAATTCCATGAACATTCTATAATCAAATCGATTGTTTGTTTCATGAATAACAAATACTCTCATTAAATGGCGCCTTAATGAGTAAAACTCCTTACTAAAAAATCTGTGTGTATTTACCACTCTGCCTTGTGGCATTCCACTAAAATGCTCGTTCAAACCCGCGTGTGGCAAAATTATTCACAACTTTTATAAGCTTTTTATAATACTTTATTTGTGAACATATATCAGAATGACGTGAACACCGACCCCGTTTCGTATATCTTCAGTTATTTTTGGTGTCTTCTGATTCATATTGTAGGGAGGAGAAACGAAACATGCGTAAGAAATTCTCAATGACGTTGACAACGTTAATTGGCAGTATGTCTGTGTCGTTTAGGGTACAAATTCTTTACGAGCCATTTAGTGTTAGATTGCATAAAGACCATCTACATGACAATGACAAGACTTACGTGTCACGAACGAAAAAAAAAAACTTTTTAAACAAGTATTTTCTTTTTGGTATACCTACAGATACCACATATTTCTTTTAGCAATTGAAGAAAACAGAATTCTATAATTACTATGATGGTGTAAAGCTAAGAACAATGTGTAGAATGCCGTACATTAGGAATTTGAAACTTTTGCTACATAAAAAGAGTATTTATTTTCTAATGATAATTATTGACATTTACACAGGTGATTGGTTGTACTTAGTAAGTGCAATGTACTTGCCAACTGCAAGTGTATGTCAGCTCTTTATTCATATCGAGTTAAGGCACCATTTCGTCTAGGTGCCTAGATATCTAATGAGAAAATCTACTTCCTTACCAACTTATCTCGACTTTTTGTATAACTGGCAATTTCGCTCTGAATAAGCTTGTCGTCTCATTTTGATATAAATACGTAAAAGGAATTTAGAATTTAGTACCTAGCAATATCAATTACTACTAACCACCAATGTGAATATGACATTAACATTTTAATAATTGGCAGTAACAGCACTATATTTGAAATGTTAAGAATGTTGGACGAGGAAGTACGTCAATGTACGAGAGCAATCAGTATTAATCTCGTTTGTGCAGTTAGACAGTGAAACGACGGTGATGAGTAATTTAATTGACATTTGACATACAAGATCTACTTATATCACTCATATCGGCACGGCATACCCAGAATTCTATAGACTTTACATTCCCTACATATGTGGTCAAATAACTCCTGAATATTCTAGAATTCATGTTGTTACTGGAGATTGACTCATCAGTGGAATTTTGAATATGGGGTGTCAAAAGCCTTTTCAAAATCTTTACAACAACGTTATGGTGTACTTCACGGCTTCAAAAATATTTATTGAATTTGAGATTGTGTTTTGCAATCGTTTAGGTAATAACCGAGAGTTATTGTATCTTTCCAGTTTATGTTTTCTTTTAAGAACCACGTGTTACGACATTTAGTAGGCAACATGGATGGCCTAAGATTGGTGTTGCAACATATTTTGCACTCAATAATGTTACCTACTGTTTTCCAATCTGAAATTCATCGTATCGTCACCAATATCATAGGTAGCAGCTTGCAGCATCTTTAATAATTCATAAGCAAAATCACCATCCATACATCATCAGCTCTTGTTAATTTGTTAAAATTAATGTATTCTTGTACACATTTTGAAGCAATTTTCATTAATCCAGGAATTAATGCTAACATTCTTGATTTTGGAAGTATTCCAATAGAAACAGTTGTACGAGCACATTTTCGTAATTATGTCTTTTCTGTAACACTTACTAGCTGACCAGAGCCTATTTTTGTAACACAAAAAACATTTCATGACGGCTTTCATGATATCAAGGGGCCGTGTCGCTTCACATCTATTTGATTTTATTTGAATTCAAATAATTCTAACAATTATTGCTTGGAACACGATTTTTATTTAACAATTCTAGTAGTTATTATTTGGAAGTATCTAATATTTTGTGAGTAAAATAATCGCTTTTGATTAGAAATACCTCAGGCGTATCTATTTAAATTATTATTGTTGAAAGAAGGATGCAAAAAGTTTTTTTCTTAGGTACCTACATTGATAAAGATTTCACTTCTGTAAAGATCATGTTTGTTTTTGTTTATGTTTGTTTTCTATTTTACGATTACCTGCTTTCCAGTGGTGATTCAATCAATTTATCTGAGAAACAAAAACTTCAACAGATCCTAATAAAACCAAAGAAAACTATTTTGTTAGTACACCTACAGTAGTGGCTCGGAACAATTTAGTCTCTCAGCCAAGAAACAATCTTGCATCGGTGCCGTGTTCGACAGTGATTTATGACACTTTTTGTGTCTCGACCAGTGCATCCTTCAAATGAGTGAGAGATGCATAATAGGCATGGCAACGACTACATATATGTCAAGATAATTAATGTATATCTGACGAATTAGCTTATGTCTACATTTGCTTCCAACTCACACACTCATATGCACACGCGCACAGCTTGCACTTTTGTGAAAAGACCATTGCGAGGAATGTGACGTAGTAACAAACAGATCACATAGTCAGTTGGCGACAAAAGAAAATAGTCGGAATGCCGATACCACGTAATGGAAGTCTATTTCAGCGGCAAATGCGCCGGCACACGGTTTTAGCCGAGCTAAGAGCGTAGGCGCCTTGCGACCTTGGCGGAGCCAGCATCGGTGGAACGGTGGAAAATGAGACTCGGTACCATTTTAGGCCGCGCCGACGGCCGCAGCGGTCGGCGGCCGGGTCAAGTTTTATTGTCTCCGCAGCCCGGTTGCATAACTCGCAAATCGCAAACCGAGCCGCTCGCATCGAAAATATCATGCGCACGACCGAAAGCTCGAGTCCGCCGAGTCGGTCTTCCCCTAGGCTCGTCCGAAGATCATTAACTCCAAGATAACCCATTTGGACGGGCGCCGTCGCAGACGTTTCGACACGACGACGACCGCCCCCGCCCTGGCGGACGGCCAGCTTTCGAAAGCTCGCAAAATTAAACGGAGACGCGCGCCGGTCGGCGGGCAGCAGGCGAGTGGCCACTTACACCAGTACACCGCGACGAAATCCTTGTCTTCCAGCACTCTCTCCAACTGTTTGGCGGTGACCTCTTCGATTTGGGGCTCGTGTTTGCTCGGGGCGGGGGATTTACGCGCGCTCGCGGCGGCGGCGAGCAGCAACACGACCGCCAGAGCCTGCAGCCACCGAGCCATGGCGAGGGCGCGCGCGGACTGACCGGCCGGACGCCCGCCCTGCGCACGCGCCGCCCGCCCCCGTCCCCACCGCCACGCATGCGCACACAGCCACTGCCCCGGCTCCCGCACCGCTTCGCATTTGTTTACATCGCGACGCAATGCCTCCGGTTTTACAAACACATAACCTCCACGTGTTGATGTCATATATGATATTAAACATTCGCTCTTGGATAATGTTTACGTCAAAGAACTAACTTAGGAAAAAAAAAATAGTTTCGTTACGGCGGATGAGATCTACAAAAGTTGTTTGTGTCTACGTAGGCACTTTTAGCCTTGTAATTCATCGCTTTTAGGTTGCTTATATTATACCCTACATGTTCACGTTGTGTTCACGTAATGGCTACTTACCTACGCCTACACTTCATCCTCTTTCCACCAGATTTGATCTTATTGCAAAACACTCAAAGCACTAAGAAGACTAAAATAGTTCGTGCCAAAGATGACGATAGTACCCTCGTATTAAGAAATGCGTATGTTCGAAAACAAGAAATCCTTATTACGTACCTACCTATAATTAGAAGAAATGTTGTTTCTGTTAAAATGGCAAACCATGACTGGTGTTTTTTTTTTAATTTTGTAATATTAATATAGAATAGATAAGTAAGTAACTTGAGCAGAAGGAGGCTGCAAATAGGGAAAGAGAAATAACAAATCCTCTTTCCACCCGCAGCTGACGCACTGGGCGTAGGAGGCGGGCAGAAGATGCTCTCTTCCATCCCCCTAGATGTGTACGGGGACGGAGGACTTGGGGGAGACTCTGTCATCCCGTTAAACAGGACCAAAAACGGTGGCGCGCCTCGAGGCGAGTTACGGGAGAGACTCATACCTCGCTTCCCTTTGCAACTTGAGGTGGGGCTTATGGAGATAGGCCATCATGAGTGGGGACACCAAGGTGGTTTTTAGTCAGTAAAAGACTGACAGAGTCCTCTTCGTCTCCCCAGGCGAAGGGGCTCCATGAGGATTTTCCACGTTGAGCAAAAAAAAGATAGTAAGTGACTAAATCAAATATAGTCAATAACAAGTCACATAATATTAGTCATTAACAGACAACAGAATATATGTATTATAGTACAGAATGGTTATTATGTATTACAATTTAAATATAATATACGTTTAGCCATTTTATTAGTCATGTCGGGAACTCATGACGTTATGAAAAATCTTCTGTTTAGTGTATTTTTTTTTTCGTTACTGTGTGCTCTATAGGTACCTATATGACCGAAGCAGTCATGCTCGCAAAGAGAGAGGCGGCCCGCGTGAGGGAGCAATCCTCCTCCTCACGCCCCAGCAGCCGCAACTGGCGACACTACGGGCGTCGGGGATCGAGGGACGATCTCCGGCCACCGTAAGCACGAGCCTGCGGTCGGCGAGTAAGGGCAGCTCGCCGCCCGACCAGAACCAGGCCCGAGCGTACGGCGCGTAGCGTTCCGCGCGCGCCTCAAAGAGCCAATAGACCACCACAGACGGGGCCCTAAAGGGCTGATGTTCAGCCGGGGTTGCGGGGTAAGCGCAATGAGGTACCGCGACCTCGGCACAGAGCAGGAGAAGGAACAGGGGGTTTTTAGTCAGTAAGAGTCTGACACTCCCTCCTGCCCGGCCCTGGGCGGGAGAAGTCATTTGATGATTTTCCCCTCACAAAAAAAAAACCTATATGACTGGGCGCAAAGTCTACCTAGTCTAGTGCAGGAGCAGGTACTGATGGGTTTTCAGTCAGTAAGAGTCTGACACCCCTTTCAGGGGAGGGGTGGGACCACCCTGGGCGGGAGAAGTCATTTGATAATTTTCATGTAAGAAAAGCTTAAGTTATACTTATTGTGTGTGTCTCTAGATTGTTTAGTGACTTTAGATGTCAAATTGTTTTTATTTTGCTGTGCCCTACGGGGTCCAAAACTGTAGCTCTACTGAGCCATTATGTAACACTGTTTTATACATTATGGAATGCAAATTAATAATTGGCGGATACTTGGCTGTTTATATACTGGCTTCATTTCACTAAGGGCTGATGTTTTAATGGCTAGATAAAAGTTATCTGGAGAATATTTATATAGATAATATTTACTATTGAAAAATCAGCCCTAAATAAAACTGGGCAAAAATGGGTTCTTAGTGGGTATTTTTAATAGGACACCATTAGCGTTATAAACAAAATGCTAAATTATTGACGATTTATACATACCAATTCAAAAAGTATGAAGTTTTGCATTTTTTTCCATCCTGCATTCCAATCGTCCAAACGATATTGTTGTGAACCAAAAGTATATTATATTTTATCAATTATTTCAAATACTTTACGTCACTCTGTTATATTTATTTACGTAGAGTAATTAAAATAAAATATGACTAGAAACTTATTCTAAACACATCACCGTTAATAATTTTATGAAATAAATGACTAGGTAACAACTTATGTAAAATAACTCATTCATCTTTTTTTTAAAAGTTCCCGCGTATAATATTCCGACGCAAAACTCCCTCTAGCGGCATCGAATAAAACTAACTTAACACATTTTCGAACGAGTCAAACGTAGTCAGCGGACCTTTTATGACGAGAGGAAAAATGTCAACCTGTTGTCCAGTGTTGTAACCGTGATTTGGAAATCGATATCGATATAAAATATTTGTCTCACTAATGTTTTAACTTTATGAATATTCGAAATATGCAATATTTTACCTATAAAATCAAATTCATCACCAAAATGAAACTCAATATGCATTTTTTTTTAAATCCAGTTTAAATATAAAAAAAAAAAGTAGAGGAGGAGGAGGAGTGGCTTGAGAGACGCTACGGCGTCCTCACCTTCCGTCTGACGCAGGTGCTTACCGGGCACGGCAGCTTCGGTAGGTTCCTGTTTCGGATCCAGCGGGAGGAAACGCCCGAGTGTCGTCATTGTGAGGACCACCTAGAGGATACGGTGGAGCATACGGTAGCGGTATGCCCTGCCTGGGCTGAGCACCGCCGTATCCTCAGGGAAGTGATCGGCGGCGGCGACCTCTCGCGCCCGGCCTTAGTCGAGGCCATGGTGCAGAGTGAGAGGAACTGGGTAGCCGTCTCCTCCTTTTGTGAAGCAGTCATGCTCGCAAAGAGAGAGGCGGCCCGCGTGAGGGAGCAATCCTCCTCCTCACGCCCCAGCAGCCGCAACTGGCGACACTACGGGCGTCGGGGATCGAGGGACGATCTCCGGCCACCGTAAGCTCGGGCCTGCGGTCGGCGAGTAAGGGCAGCTCGCCGCCCGACCAGAACCAGGCCCGAGCGTACGGCGCGTAGCGTTCCGCGCGCTCCTCAAAGAGCCATTCGACCACAACAGATGGGGCCCTAAAGGGCTGATGTTCAGCCGGGGTTGCGGGGTAAGCGCAATGAGGTACCGCGACCTCGGCACAGAGCAGGAGAAGGAACAGGGGGGTTTTTAGTCAGTAAGAGTCTGACACTCCCTCCTGCCCGGCCCTGGGCGGGAGAAGTCATTTGATGATTTTCCCCTCACAAAAAAAAAAAACACCTATTCATTTTATGTAAAAAAATGTTTTTTTCCTCTAAGAAAGAAATAAATGATAATTAAGACTGGAAAATAAAAATATTTCCATCCTCATTCCCCAAATCTGGCAAACCGTCTCAATTTCTTCTATGTTCATGGGTTATTGCTTAGCATCAGATGACCCAACTACGACTAACTAACCTGCTCGTTTACTGTTCTTTCTCGACAATGATTGTAACCTGAACTTTTATGCACCGAGCTTATTATACACAAGAAAAATTTCACGATAAAAGTTCAATACAATTGGTGTTACATCTAGCACTAAACAGTACTTAGTGTTTTTAATAATTTTAACCGCACCTATAATAAACATAACATTTATACAAAACTAAAATAACATTTTCATATATCGATAAACGCTGTCGAGTCATCGATGCCATCACGTCCTTACGAGAGATGAGTCAACCAATCAGGGACAACCGCAAACGTCATTTGTCACGTGGAGGGGAACGCCGGAGAGTGGTTTCCGAACGGAAAAGGCAGCGTTGGTAACTTTTTGTTTCGCAGTCTCGCGCTGTTAACAAATTCTCGTGACGCGGCCGGTTGCAACAAATAAGTTCGACTTTGTGAATGTGAAGTGCCTTGTGAATTATACAATGGATATTATTTATTAACAACCACAGTACTGTGCAAAGTGTTGTAATTATTTCTTCGCAAAGTTCAGGTAAGTTTTGTTTGGTAGAAAAGTTTTTAAGTTTTTCATAATGTACGTTTTACCTGGTCCATGTATTGTTTGATTCGGGCGCAATCTTATCACGAATTTATACTTCGATAGTATATTTTGTGCTGTTTAGTCAGAAATCTTATGAGAATCTAGTAAGATTGCGAGTTGGTGTAAAATTTAAGTACCAATAGGATATTTTTGTGTCGATAGGCTTTTGTTATGAATTTTCAAATGGGCAAATTTTTGCTAGTTCTATGATTATTCACCTGCCGCGTACGTCACGATTTCAGAAAATGTACACCTGATTTAAATAGTTACTTATTAGAAGTTACAAATTATGACGAAATTATATATTTCCATTTTTAAAGTATTCTCATTAAGTTAAAATTATTTTTATACTACTTAGTATACATATACGTAAAACATAAAATATACATTTAAAATATATGCTTAAACTAATCAATCAAAAATATTAATTAAGCTTATAAAAAGTAAAACAAAGGTCAGAAAAAAATTAGAAGACAAACTTTTATTACATACTAACTATGTAAAAAATAAATATATAGGTCTAATCCCTTTGCTACCTGGAATACGAGTTCCAACTAGAAACAAAAATATCCTACAAGAATGCATTACCAAGTAATGACTTTTAATTAATTGCCACAACTGTATACCTAACAACAGCTGACCATTTTTTTAAATCCTGGCTCAAATAAGGATTAGGTCATTATTAGATTTTAATAAAAAAAAACTACTAAATTTTATTAAGGTGTACTGGTGTGTACTCTATTATATTTACCTTATATTTTATTTATTAAAGTTTTTTCACTTAAATGTATTTAAAAAAATATTATTGTCACTTAATTCAACACAGATTTTCAAATACTGGTCATAATAAATATTATCATGTTCTCAACATTACTCTCAAAGAAAATAATGCATGTTAGCACTAAAAAAAATTGCTGAGGTTTCAATAGCTACCTGTTATGACTAAGTTATATTTACCTGCTAACTCATTACCTATGATATTGAACTAATTTTTATCTAAGCTACCTGTTTTTTTGTTTGATAAAAATAAATACTACAAAATTAAATTAATTATTAATTGTTCTCTGATAGCACAATTTGATTAGCAATCATTGTTATGATAGCTACTTCTGTGTTTTTTCACCAATAACTTTATACATATGATGCTAGAACCCAAATAATTTAAAATTCAAACCAATAGTTCCATAGACAAACACATTTTGATCAAACAAACTTTATGTCTTTACTTTAGCTTTATGATGTTTTTATTTTTTTTACAATTACATTTATTTAAATGGTTTTAACTATTCAAAAATAGGTATGTATTCATTTGATAATAAAAGGAAGCGGACCACATCTTTATCAATATTATGTTTGTAAGATTACATCAATGATTTTTATCATTTTAGAGTTGTGATAAAAAAGGCTTTGTTCAGAACAATAAACCGCGCAGCCATTGTATTGTGGCCGACACAGAAACAATAAAAAAAATTGGCACATCTGGGCCTCAATCATGGTTTATGTTGCAATGTTTAAACGAAATTGGGGAAACGGTGATTAGCATTTTTTTTGCAAGTTATAGTTATTTTTAGATGGTTGAAACTAGTTACTTGTTCTCTAGAATAACCACTGCATGGATTTTTAATAGTTAGTTATGTGAATTGCATTTGTGACACATAATAAAATATTTATTTTAATAATAATTTTCTTGAATGATAGCTAGGTTGTAAGGATTGAAAAAAATCATCTTTCTATAAACAATTTTTTTATTTATTTTTTCTTCAGATTGTTACAAGTCAATTAAATATCAAAATAAATGTGTGTTGTATCTGTCCATTTCCATGAATAATTTTGTGTATCCGTTCTGTATCACAAGACTATCTTTTTATATCTAACCACAAACACCAACATTACTTATCAACAAGATAAGTACGACCAATGACTACTAATATTCTAGAGACTTCTAACTAATATACCTTATACCTGATTAACATAATACTCAACTCCTTCAAAATTAATGAATATTTAATTTAAAATTTTTATTTCATATAATTATTCATAGGTAGGTATAAACTCCTTGCAATTCATCCTATATGGATGAATGGCATTTTTGAAATGTCAAACTTAATAAAAATATTGGTCAGTCTTTCTGTCAGTGAAACAGAAATATGCAATAAGAGATTATGATAATTATAATCTATTGGTATTTAATATGATAAGCAATTATCCTAGAAGTAATTATGTCTATATGATGCATGATACTATGTGTCATTCATAAATCTTCATAGCTTTACAGTACGTATTTACCTTGGCTTAGCTTAAGCTTGGTTTTTTTCTACCATTTCTGTAAAGTCCTTTTTTCAACTGAAGTGCCAATACGTTCGTGTACGGCTGCAGGTACAAATTTCCATCATAATAATTATAAATCATTTACGCCGCAAGATAATAGCACCAGCGTGATAAACCTCAATACTCGTTCGTAGAACAGCGATAATCGCTATCAAACATATCGTCAACCTGATATTGTAAGGACGCTTATCATAAGGAGTTCAGTGGCTACGTGTCAGTAGACTAGTGAACATCCAACATGGGCGACTATCGTGCGGGTAAAGCCGGCATCAACGCTGAGGCTCAGGCCAGGATCAACAGCAAATACAACGAAGAAATCGCACAGGAGACCCTAGAATGGATCCAAAAACTGACCGGCGAACCCGCTGACACGTCTGGAAGCGCTGAGAATCTGTACAGCGTGTTGAAAGATGGTACCCTTCTCTGCAAGCTCGTTAACGTTCTCCAGGAGGGCTCAGTAAAGAAGATCAACCAATCCACCATGGCCTTCAAGTGTATGGAGAACATAAATGCTTTCCTGGAAGCTGTCAAGAAGCTGGGAGTACCACCACAAGAGACTTTCCAGACCATTGATTTGTGGGAGAAGCAGAACCTGTATTCTGTTGTGGTGTGCCTGCAGTCGCTGGGACGTAAAGCTGGCAACTTCGGTCAGCCGTCCATCGGACCTAAAGAGGCTGAGAAGAACGTGCGTGAGTTCAGCGAAGAGCAACTGAAGGCCGGACAGAACGTCATTTCTCTCCAATACGGTACCAACAAGGGCCAGCAATCCGGCATCTCATTCGGCAACAGGCGCCAAATCTAATCCTTAAATGTACATAATTTATGATTAAAGTGTAACAGAATAATAAATAATTTTGTATTTTTTTATATCTTTCTTTCATTTGTTGAAACAAGGTGTGGTTTTCGTCTCTAAGTAACGTAATCACAGATTAGATAATACGAGTACATTGGTATTTGCACCAATGCACTCGACTTTCGATTCATAAATCAGTAAGTTCAGTGAGTTTCTGGATTGTTTCTTTCAAAAGCATTAATGGAATGCCCCCTAGATCTTTTTGAGCTCACATGCATTATTTTTATACCCTTACTGAATTGATAAATAATTGTAACAAAAGTACATAATTGTTACAAAGTACCTACACCAAAAAATGACGTTGATATTTTTTTTTATGGATTTAATTGCTATCAGCTTATACAAATTAACACATGAATGTAGCTCGAAATATTCCTATGCAGATTAGGTTAGGATAACGTGTACGTGTACCTACAATTTAACCGTTGCCTCTGTATGTATATTTAGCAAATAATATAATATTTTATAAAATTTAATATCAGGTTTCGTAATATGCTTAATTACTTGAAATTTATTGATGATGATAACAGGCAGGTAACGTCTGAACGCACCAGATAACGCTTTATCGTTAAATATCTAAAAGAATTCAGTGTTAATGCATTTCTTCGCTTCAAGTATAAAGCTTACGTAATTTTAACTTAATCCAGGCTAATGATGCATATCACAACATACAATGATCTCATTAAAAAACTAAGAATCGAATGTGATTAATCTTATTTAGATAGAATAATTTAAGTAGTCACAGTACAAAGAATCGAGCATTTTAAAGATAAAATAATTAATTTTATCTTTGCTTGACATTCACACGTTTCCAAGTGATATAATTGCGCATGTTCCCAAGGCAATTAGGTGTTGAATGAACTACTTACATCTCCCCCTGCAAATACATAAAAAAAATAAAACAGACACCAAATGTAACGTAAAATGAAACTATAATATGTCTGGTATGCCCTTGAACTCTTAAATTAATCAAATCACCTAAGCATAAGCCATACATTAGTCAGAGAACAATATGAGGGTGCTCATAAGCCTATTGTTATAGTTCTTCTACAAGTTGGTGTTTAGTAAAGTCCAGCAGGTTTTGTAGACCTTTCCAGAACGATTTTGGTGTTGAAAAATTTACTTTGAGGAGTTCACAGAATTGTTACTTGGTCACAACAATGAATGCTCTTCGATTCATCATTTGTCCGGTCCCTAAAACACCATTTTATAAACCTGTAATAGTCGCATATTTTTCATGGATTAAACTTTTTAGATTTGTATTTTCTGTCAGTGGAGTGCAGCAAAACTCACCATTCGATAATAAATAAATTTATTTTCAGATAATGTCAGACAGTTTAGCATACGTCTACGTAAATTACGATATATAAATAATATACCTAATCATTCCTGCAGACAACAATGTTGATGCGGTCGGTGTACAGTAAAGTTCAGTTCATATTTTATATTAGCAAAATGTCGAGGGGAGTTCGCTCCCCTTTTTGTACCTTGTTATTTGATGACGTCATCTAATATTGATCTAACTTGCAACCATGGTTGCTAAGCATGAAATCCCTCGCCCTCACTGCGATAGCTGTTTTGAGGCAGCTATTGAGAACGACTTACGTAATCGTGTCGTTATATCCGCCGACTCCATATAACAATACTAATACTGCAAGTCGCTTAAACACCGCAATTAGGAACCAAACAAGCTATTATCATTCTTAAGACTAAAATAACAACTACTAGAATGCTGTAACCGAATTTTAGATTATGAAGCCTCGTGCAACGT